AAATTTAGAAAATTTATAATATTTCATTCCTGGACTTATCTCTTTAAACATTACTAAAGTTTTCTTATCATTTTCTAAACATATTTCTCTCATATCTTCTGCACACCGTTCGAACGAACCGTATAATCCATTACATACTTCGTTAATTCCTCCATCCTCCCCAACAATTATAAAACCGTATTTTCCTTCTCCTTTCCAAATATCTTTGACTTTGAAATAGCGGAGGATAAATGGAAAATTATCGGGAACATCGAACGAGAAATTTTTTACCGCAGAAACGCAAGCGTCCAAAGTACGGTACAGAATTGAAGAAGATGAGTATATTTTATAGTCTCCGTAAGTAACCAGAAAACCGTACATCCCCATGATTACAGCTTAAATATAAAACTAATTCTCTTTAAAAAAGTAACTTATATAAAATACTAACCAATCACATCTTCGTTAAAAACTAACAGCCAATCATATTTTTCTTTAAGACCAAATCGTTTTTTAAAAAAACTCACTCAAAGTTGTAATATAGAGGGCGCGAGTTTCGATGTTGTGTTATCAATTTTTTATATTAAATTCTTATACAAATTAAAATATAATCTATACTGTATTGGTCTTTATTTCGATATAATTCAAAAAAATTTTTTAATATTTTAAAAAAAAAAAATTTATTTACGAAAAAAATTTTTTTATATTAAATTTATATACTAATTAATTTTTTGTAATCCAAAATGTATCATTTCTATACTACTACTGTATATTGTACATTACATTTGATATTAATCACTGTTTGTAACTTCTGTTATCTTCTGTAACTTCTGATATCTTCTGTTAAGCTTGAAGAAGTCTAGTATTAGATGAAGTACAGGCATTACTAATCAATTGCAGGGTTACCTTTGAAAAAAGAAGTTTGAGAAATAGTAGTTGCCAAAATAGAGACTTTATGGGAAATAAAGGATTAGACAAAAAAAGGATAACTACAAAATTGAATATAGGCTATATTTGATAATAAAAAATTTGATTTTATGTCAAAAATACTGCACTTTAACAGGAAGAATTATATTGTTATACTGTTCTTCCTCCCTCATTTTATAAACTGCAAGAAATTTTAAAAGCATAAAACTGTTTAAAATTAACTGAGAAATATCAAAACTTTTAAAAAAAGTTGAATCAAAGCCTGGATTGGTTTGCTTTTTAAATTTTTCAAATTTCTTTAAGCAAGAATTGGAAGCATTGTTAATGCTAAATGAAGTTTAATGTTGTACTGCTAGATCAATGTTTATATAATCTGTACTGTCTTATATCATCAGTAATAATAAATAAAAAGAATGTCATTTTTGGCATTTAGTTACTGTTTAATTTTTAAATACATTATAATTTACTGGTATTTAAAATATTAAGTAATAATACACACATGGACAAATGCAGCTCTTTTTGAGTTGCATGCAGCTCTTGCTGAAAGTGCTAATTTCTGCTTTTTATTATTATTACAATTTTATTTCCACAATTTTGTGAAAATATGTTTATTAAAAAAATTCAATATTTGTTTTATATTATATAATAAAATTGCGATACAGAACTGCAGTACAGAATAAAAAGAACAGAATTTGGCTCTCATGCATTTTGAAAAATCTACATTTTGGTTCCCACTGAACTCTTGCTTGCCCATCCCTGTTATAATACTTTATTAAAAATTTTCATGATTTCATCAATTTTTTCATAGAAATCATGTTATTTCAAAACTGCAGTTAACAAGTGATTCCTGTCCTTAGATGAAAGATAAATCATATAATTTATTGTTATAGTAACATGTAGATTTACTTATGTGTAAAGTTGTTATACCTATATAAATTTTATAAAAATCTTTTTTTTTTTTTTTTTTCAGGACAGCAGTTTTTACAGAACAGAACTCAGGATGAGCAAGTTGAAAAAATTCAAAATCATTATTGCATTTAGTTCCATCATTATCATTGCTTGTTATATTTATTTGTACTCTATTAGTAGTTCAAACATAAAAATTCAATCTCACTATGTTTGCTCAAGTTTTGATCATTCATTACTATATAATAATAGAACTTTATTAAATAATCATATTTTAAGAAAGTTTCCCAGCAATAGTTCATACGAATTTAAAAGTGAAGGAGGTTGGATAAAAGTTTTTCCTCATTTTTTCATATATTCTGCTTACAGTGATAATTGCCAATATATAAAAAATGGTAATACTCAGCCTTGCATAAAGATAATTTCTGTAGTTCTTAGCGGTCTTACATTATTGAAGGAATATAATCCAAAGCCTTCTTGTTATATTAAAAATGAAAAAAACGTTATTTTGAAAACCGGAGTAATAACTTATACAGAAATTCCAGAAAGTCATGAAAGATGCTATGTTGCTGCTTTTATAGACTGTCCATTACTTAAAGACAACTATTCTTATCCACTATGGATATCAATTGGTCATTCATCAAAAGACTTAAAATGGATCCCAGTCCAGAATTATCCCAGCTCCAATAAAAAAAACTTGGCAGTTTGCATAAGACCACTATATGGTCCTTTTAATCAGTCTGTTTCTCTTATTGAATTTGTCAACTATTATTATGCTGCAGGAGTTGATCATTTTTATTTTTATATTCAAGATATAGTTCCTGAAATTTATCAATTATTTAAATTTATGCTCAATGAAGGAAAAATTAGTATCAGTTTGTTAAACTGGAATATAGAGCTTGATAGTGAACTGATACATGAAAGTGGCCAACTAGCACATATCCAAGACTGTATCCTAAGAAGTCGAAATAATTTCAGATATGTCATTCTAGTTGATTTAGATGAATTTATAGTTCCACACTATCAAGACAACTTGAAAGAAATGTTATATAATTTAGATGCAAAATATAAAAATGTTGGTAGTTATGTATTTCCAATGGCATTTTTTTGTGATGAATATATATTTCAGGAACATAAATCATTTGCAAATTTTCCATTTATTACATTAAGTAATTTTATTCGTCAGAAGACACTTTGGTATTATCACGAACGCTCTAAGACTATTGTAAATCCCGCTGTTGTAAAGATAGGAGGTATACATTTTGTCTGGAAACATTTTGATAATTATAAAGAAGTAAGGATTTCTGGTGATATTGCTCTACTTCATCATTATCGTTCTTGCTGTGGAATGCAACAAACTTGGATATTTCATTTAAAATCTTTTCATGTTTTGTCTGATAAAACATTGAAGGACAAGTCTATGCTGAAATTTCAAGAAAAAATGCTCAATAGTTTAATAATGAAAGCATTATATAAGCTAATTTTATGAAATTTTGCATGCTTGTTTTGTAAATAACTTTTTCAATGAATACAGTTTTTGAGCCAAATTTAAAGTACAATATTGAATCAAATTTTAAATGATTAATTTGTATATAATTTTAAAATATTCAAATATATATTTATTCTATAAATTACTGTAAATAAAAATTCAAAACCAATTGAGATATTTTATTTAAATACTTTTTAATGAACCGTTTATTACACTTCCTGTTCTTTAAGGCAAAAACATTATAAAATCAAGCAAAAGTTTAAAAGAAAATTATTCGTAATTATAATTTAATAATCTAATCAATCCAACTGAGAACAAAAAGCTCTTGCAAAAATTGGTGCTGAGATTGGGTTTAATTCAAAATTCCCTTGACAAGAAAATGCTTCCTCTGAATATGAAATATCAAAACTGAATAATGTGAATTACTGTATCTTCATATTATGATAATATCATGTTGCCTTATAAACAAAGAATTTATTGTAATTTCTTCTTGATATAAATGATCATATTTATCAAAATAATTAAATTGCTTAAATCTATTTTAAATGAATTTTCTTGGATTTTTTATCTTGTAAGCTTTAAAGTGAAATATAATGTTTAATTAAATAAACTAAGAACAAAATAAATAAGACTTTTTTAATTTGTTAATAACCTATTAACTAACTATAGTCTTGCAGAGGTCACAGTGTTTGATAGATAAAATAACAAAAAAATTGTTTTTAAATTGTCAAAAGTTTAGGCTAAATTAAAAAAATTTGTATTTCTAATCAATGTTAAAATTTTCAAAGCATGAGAAAAATATTAATTTATAACACAGTTTAATAAAAAGTAGAAAACTAAATTGAAGTGAAACCTTGAATAAGTGATTTACAAACAATATTCTCAGTTTATGAACCTTTTTAATTCCTACACTGAGAATTTGATCATATGCATTAATATGCTAATATATTACCATGATTACTTATCACCAGAAATTTTTTGTTTAGTATCAAAATTTTCTGCACATTCTTCCATTATATCATTTTCATTTTAACAGCTGTCTCATTTTCAGACTCTAATCAAATTTTTATCATCTGACTCAAGTAATATCAGCTGTAATTCTTCAATGTTCTTCTCATTGTCAATTTGATATGCAATATTTTCCATTTTCAGACAGGAAGCCCAAAACCATCTTAAAAAATAACAGTATACTCTAATAGGTTGTAGTAGTTCTCAGATACAAATTAAGGGAGTGTTGAGAAAAATGTGCAGTTTCACCCAACAAAAAGGAACTGACGAAGCAATACTAGTTAATTGAATACTACCAGTTTCTCAAGAGTATCTACTCAAAGTTGCCAGATATCATTTCAAAACAAAAATATTTAAAAATTATTCTGGATGTATTATGAGACGTTAGTAGACATTTAATCATATTTTTAATTTATTTTAATTTAAAATATATCTCTCCACTTCAAATTAGTAGTGTCTTGCCCCTGTATATCATACTTTTCCTTTAACAACAGAGTCGTGCAGGTCATCTAATACTTTTCGGGAAAATTTTTGAATTGAAATAACATGACTTCCGGTTTGCATCGGAGATTCGTATATAGTTAATCGGAGTTTCTTAATTTCTTGTCTCATATTTCATCTAACTCTATTCTCGAGGAAAGACGGATGACAGTAAGAATTTATATGTTACAATTTTTTCAAATTGCAACATAATAAGCAAAACTAATTTTAACACTTGAAAGAATAGAGCACACAGAGCCCAGTATGATTTTAATATAATTTTTAGTCTGTAAAAATTGTCCAGAAAACGAGAATGAAACTAATGTACGTAATTCGAAACAACTTGTACAAGTCGACCCCCTATAATACTTGTTTATTCCGTTTTATATGAATTCCATGTTGTACGAGTCATTTAGATTTTACAAATACAGTACGTGAGCCGTTTACAGCCCGGCACACGTATTTGTAAAATCTAAGTGACTCGTACAACATGGAACTCATATAAAACGGAATAAACAACAGTGTTATAGGGGGGTCGACTGTAAAGTTTGATTATTAAAACAAAACATCTCTTTTTAGGTGTGTGTCATCTAAAAATTGATGTTCAGACTATCTCCTTTCTTGAAATTTCATTACCTTGGTTTTTAAAACATAGTTAAGGAAGTTCGTTTTCAAAATTGCTGTGTAAAAAATAGAAAATTAAGTTGGTTAAAGTCATATTTGTTAAACAGAACTTACTATGTCAAAATCGGGCAGGTTATTTCCAGTTCATTTAAGCCAAACAAGGGCATTCCTCAGGGTTCAATTCTACGTCCTCTGCTTTTCAATATATGCATCAATGATCTGTTCAATTATATATTAAAAAGTAATATACTTATGTATGCTGACGAAATAGTGATAACTAACTTCTTTTCATACAAATGCTACAATTCTCCAAGAGAATTTAAATAACATTTTAAAACACACTAAACAGTTAGATGAGAGAAGGGTATTATGGAATACCATTTACATTTCTAAAAATAACTACTGGTTTTTGAATAAATATCCCAAAATCATCACGAGTACTGTACATACCATAACTAATTGTAATGAACTGTCACTTGTAAAAAAAAAAATGCTATTTATTTTGTTATAAAGAAAAAATCATAAATGGAGGGTAATATGGAATAGGTGGTTTAAACCATTGAAAAACTAATTAGACATCATAAAACAGTTATTCTTAACTACGAGGTATGAAAACCATATTTTTAAGATCATGTGCATGTCATTCCTACTTCAAGTCTATTTACAAAAGTCATAGATATAATTTTCTTTCTCTGCTCCGATACAATCAAGGTGAGCCCACAGAGAACAGCTGAAGCATTGAATCCAAATTTTTCCTCGATCATCTTCAGAGAATTTTCCATTACAGATGATACATTCAGCGTCTTCGTTTTCTGGTTCTTTAGTTGATGGCATAAAGTCCATTACAGATGATACATCAGAATGTAACGATTCATCGCTGCAAACACTGGAGTCATCTCTAGTAGGTTTAGGTCTAGAAGGTCGGTCTAAGTTTAATTTCTTAACAGGTAGTCTTTGAATGTTTGCTTTCTTTTGTTGTTTTGAAGCTTCTGGTTTTTTTCTTTTTGTCCTTTTCTTTCAGTTTATCCATTTATCCTAGTATTCCATAATACCCGACACGCCATCTTGGAAAATTAACCTTTAAACTGATGGATAAAACATTGTCAGCTAAAAAACGACTACAGTATAACAAACTACAATTCTTTTAGTGTACATTATGCTTAACATCAGTGTTCGAGTCACATGTGTACTAGTAAGTTAAAATGTTTGAAAACTTGCCTGTAAAAACTCTTGAAAATCATTAAACACACTTTGTTCTGTAGCGAGTGGTACGATGACAACAAGCGGTCAACTCTCACTGCACTGCATCGTGGGAGTCTTTCTTGATTAGTTCATGGTATTCCCACGTAATAACAGCAGCAAACAGAGTCGAAACCTCGGTATTACATATTGCCCGACTATTTCATAATACCCTCCTCTCCTCTATATGGAAAATAATAGGTTGTTAATTAATAAAAACAAGACAAAACTTCTCTGTTTTGCCGATAGAAACAAAAAAGTAAACTTCGACTACCTAAAAATTAAAATAACTGATAACAACATAGAGTAAACGCTATCAAGTTTTAGGAATAACTTTTGATGATGATCTGCGCTGGAACAGACAAATGGATGATGTTACTCTATCCTCGGCAAAGTATATTGGGATAAACAAGAAAATTCAAAACTTTTTAAGTACATTACATTTGATTGTACGGTTGTACCATATATCAGTATGTACCAAAATAAGATATGGTATTATTGTCTGGGGAACCGCATTTTTATATGCTGTCAATAAACTTCAGGTGATACAAAATTGCTACATGCGTTCAATTCATAATCTACATTACAGGGAATCAGTGTCAGAATTTTACAGTACCGACAATATTGATAACTATGCGAAATTTACATCAAACAAGTTCTGTTAGAGAGGAATAAATACATAAAGGGTAACAAAGAAAATAGCTATCTCGGAAATAACATAGGTAAATGTCGAAAATCATCACGCGATACTCGCAAAATCTGTGGATATAATCTTCCAATCGTTAAACTTGAAGTGGGTAAATTTGCACTGATCTTCCAAATAATTTCCTATTGGAATAGTTTGAGTAACAATTTACGGAACGTATTCAGCTACAAAATCTTCAAAAAACAACGTGAAAAAATTTTAAGTTACACTAATTGTTATTAATTAATCTAAATAAATTTGAAAAATAATGTAAATTATTTTATTTTTTTCAGCTCGCATCTTGTTTATTGTTTAACTAGCAGACCCCGCCACGCCTTGTTGTGGCTCAAAATGTATCTATTATAAATGTATAACACTTCCCCCGTGGGGGAAAATTTTTCGAAAAATTTTTTCTTAGTGTACATTCTGTTGACGTACCCTATTAAAACGCAATCAAAAACGCAAAAACCCGCATCTAAATAGTATAATAGAAGCCAAGTTTTTCAGAGTAAGCCTTAATCCTGTCTCTCTCCCCCGCGGGGGGAATATCGAAAAATCCCTTCTTAGTGTACATTCTGTTGACGTACTCTATTAAAACGCAATCAAAAACGGAAAAAACCGCATCTAAAATAGTATAAATAGAAGCAGAGTTCTTTACGGTAACCTTCCCCGTAAGGCTTACCGTAAAGAACTGTCCATTCCCCATATTTAACGGAATAATATATAGCCTATGTCCACCCTGAAGTTCCATTCTAAATATTGGTGAAAGAATTTTTGAAATCGGATGAGTAGTTTCGGAGATTACCTGCTGCATACAAACTAACATACATACATACATACAAACATTACCTCTTTATAATATTAGTATAGACTAACTCTCTTTTTGTTTTATTTGTCGATCTTGTTCTAAGATGCTTGAAAAAGGCCTACCTGGCCACAGTGTGTTTTTGAAAATAAATAAATAAATACAAACTATAACTACAAACAATAGTTTATTGCGACACCGTCACAATGCTGGGGATGCAATTTTTAATCATATTTTAAAATATTTTATTTAAAACATGTGCTCTCCACATCAAATTAGTAGTGTCTTGCACCTGTACATCATACTTTTCCGTTAGCATCTATTAACTGCTTTTGAGCAGGGGAGTTTTGAATTGAAATAACTTGACTTCCGGTTTGCACCGAAAGTTCATATATAGTTAATTGAGGCCTCCTGTCCCTAAAGTTTCCATATCTGGTCTCGCATTTCATTTAACTCCGTTCTCGAGATTAAGACAGTGCGAATTAATAGGTCTAAAATTTTTTCAAATTGTCACGGATAGGAAAGTTCGGAATGTCAATCGGAAAAATCCAGCTCTGACTCTAACATGAGAAAATTTGGAAATAAATGTAGCATTCCTTCGAAAGCAAAATTTTCGCGTTGTAAGTAATGAAGACAAAGAAAAATTCTTAGCCGTTAGAAAAGAAAATATCATGGCGTGAGATACGAGCGAAATTTCAAAGTTGGACCAAGTCGAACGGAAGTGTCAAATTGATTAACCCATCAAATTAAGAATTTAGGAAAGAGATCCTTTAGAAAGTCAGAAACTCAAGGAGAAAGAATGGTCGTTTCTCCCTAGCTCAGTCTGTTTATCCTCTATGTCGATTTCACCGTTGTTTCGGACTTAATTTTCGTTCGGCCATATTATAAAGGTTTTTCGGTATTTTTAATATTAACTTTATCCAGTTTGATGTTGCATCAATACGCGAAACCCGCAACCCCGACGACGACCGAGGAATCTTTCTGAAAAGCGAAATAATATCGAAATCCTAAGAATTTGATTTATTCGTGCGATGGCCGAAAATGGACGAAAAAGATATTTTTTCAAACGAATTTTCGGCAATTTTCGAAGCCTCGAGATGTAGAATTTAAAAATGTCGTCTTTTACCTCTTCACGGTGGACATTCTGCACCATGTAAATGCAGAAGACAATTTATTTATCAAATTCCGAACACAAGAAAATGATTGAAGCAAAATTAAAAAAAAAAATTAATTAAAAAAATAAAATTGATATTTTTAATTCAAACTTTTACGTAATTCGAACATTGTTGACGCGTCTTCTAACGTTTGTTCGAAATTCGTCACAGATGACGATTCACAGTTTGATTGTGTTTGTGGGTCTGGTCGGACGTGCTTTTGTTGTGCTCTTCGATTGCGTTGCTTTTTTTGCGGTTTGCGGACTTTTGCAGAGAAGATTAAATATTTTTCAGGTAAGTCTTATTCCATATTGACCCTTAGACGTAAGAATTTATTTAATATCACTTAGAGAATCGGTCCCAGAAGACATCTCGGCACATCGTTCGATGGTCGACCATTTGCACTTCGGATTCGAATCTTTTAGATTTAAAAAGGCAGCTGCGGTGAGCATTTTGCTTTTCTCGGAAGAATTTTTGACATTAATTCAAGCTTTTGTTTTAATCGATTAATTGCAAATTTTCTTTTTTTTCAGAATGAAGATGTTTGCGTGGTTTCGCCGGAGGTTCCGACGGAAGAATGCGGTGGCGCCGGAGGGAAGGGGTTTCTCGGACGGCTCCGACGAGACGTTCGAGGACCGTTGGCTCGACTGGTCTCTGTCGAATCGATTAGTTCGGTGTCGTTTGAGACCGTCGAGCGAGAAGCAGCGGGTTGTGACGACCTTCCCCCAGTGCGTGTGGCGTGGGATTCTCCTGGAGGCGGGAGAGTTCTGAGTCCATTCCACTTGGCCAAGGTGGTCAGAGATCAGCCGGCCCTAGGCCTTGTTAAAGAAGGCATAGATAGTGACGAGTCCTCTTGGAGTTCGTCTATTTTCGCGAGGTCTGCGTCTCCGTCCGCGCTCGCGACCACGTCTCCACATCGTCTTTCGGAAGTCGGAACGGGGAAGATTCGGAGGAGAGCGCCGCCGAAGTCGAGAAACCGCGGTTTTGCTGCTGTGGGAGGCTGCGGTTCCCTTGGCCTAGGCGGTGATCCTCTTCGATTTTCTCCAACTCGTCCTTTGCACTCGGATGCGACATTCTGACCGGATTCGACACTTTTCACCCGGACACGATACCTTTACTCGGACGTGGCCTTCTCTTACCCGGATGTTCTCACCTCACGGACTTGTCTCCCATACGTGACACTCGATCGACGACAATTGATTTGACTTCCGATTGTGACCACCCTGACGCGACATTCGGCCGACCTTTCTTCCCAAACAGCTGTTATGAAGATTGAGCTTCCGGTTACGGTAGGTTAGGTAGGCAAGGCTAGGTCAGGTCCTTCGCTCTTCTCATAACACTGTTCGGGAAGAAAGACTGTCTGATAAAGGTAATAATGTTGACCTTATGTAATAAATGAACGAACTTCACGTTTTCTCACTGTCTTTGTGTTCTGTAGGAACATTTGGGAGGGAGAAGAATCTCCCAAAGTCTCATCTCTTCGTGGTAAAGTTGGGGAGGGAGGGAGAAGAATCTCCCTCCCCAACTTTACCACGAAGAGGATGAAGTGGTCATTTATCGTACAAGTGAATATTTTTCGAAATCTCCGATGGTAAGAACTCTTTCGTTTCATTTTTTAACACGTCTTATTCTCGTATCGTAATTTACTGTTCTGTTTATAGACATACCGAAGATGTTCTTCGATCACACAAATACACATACACTCACGGACACAACATCACTGTACACGAAGATATATACATCGTTTAACCTTTACTCGAATTCTCGCACTCAAGCACTTACACGTCAAGCGCCTCGTTCTGTTTAATTCTGTTAAAACTTAATGATTGAAACTACAACAAAAAACGATAAAGGAAAACCTGAGGATGGCCTATCCAAATAGGCTCAAAACGTTTGAATAAAGAGAAAAAAAACTCGGCAAGTAGAATTCAGGTGTGTTCATATATTATGAAACTACAACAGACACTGTTATAGCCAACAAAAACTTTTATTTTAAACAAAAAGAAGGAACACTAGAACTTCAAACAAAAAAGGAAAACAAAAAAGGCAAGAAGAAAACAAAAAAGGCGGGAAGAAAAAAGAATAGAGGGAGCTTATAGCAAAAACGATCAGTGTTGCCATTAATCGAATCATGAAAATGTTAATATTTTTATTTTCCAACAAATTCGACACAATGAAACAACCCGAACACTAGCTTCCCACAAATCCAACCCCTGGGTCCTCGTCCCGGGAAGTGGAAACGCCAATTTTAAAGATTAAAACGCTTTAAATTGGCGGCCGAAGGGGCTCTGGTAATCACACCTTGCATGGATTAAATTGAATTTCACACATTAGCATCAATAATCGTTTTGTGATGAATTTTTCTGTTAAATCTCTGGGAATTTACTATGGTAAGAAATTATCTGCGCACGTATTTCAGTATTGCTAACTCTTACCTAAGATCATTAATTAAAGATCTTGGTGCTCATCGTATATTTCATCACACTTGCAATATGGCAGCTGGTGATTTTTTGTTTTGTTTTGTTTATGGAGGGCACGAAGAGAGGACCGTTTTAATATTACCCATGCTTGGTTTCTGAAGATCCACAATTTGGGCTGCCGGGCTGTCTTGACACATCAGGTACAGATTCTTGAACAGTTCAAATTCGATCTCAGAGAGGTAGACTGAAGTCCTAACCGCTCAAACATCCTGCTGTTATCTTCTTATACTAGATATTGAAAGTATAACAAGTAGCGACACTTGCATATAAAGAGTTTCTTATTGTACACTAGACATTTGCACATAAATTGTTTTTAGTTTGCCTGCAATGTACCATATCTCTTACATAATATATTATTTCGGTGAGGAAATGCCATTCATTACCATTTTGTTCACGACGCGTTTTCGGATTTATTGCCAATTATTTGTAACAGATTGGCAGGCTGTCGGATTTCAACGAACTTGGGTGAAGGTTATACATATAACACATAGGAAAGATGGATGGGAGACCGAGCATGTCTCGCTTGGAACGAGTTAGTGCCGGTTCCTATAGGTATGCAGTGCATGCATGCAAGTTTTAGAATACATTTGACAGTCAAACTAAGAGAATGCCAAAGGAAATGTTTTCAAAGTTTCGATCTAAAATTCATCTTCAACATTTTATAAATTTGTCTCTGAATCTGCTACTCATGCTTAAATAAATAAATTTTTTCTGAAGTATAGTTTTGTGAGTTTTATTTATTTACAAATCTATAGAAGTGTATTTTCAAATCAGTCATCTGTCTGCTTCCACAAACAATAATCCTTTAAGTTACAATTCAAGGAATAATCATTTTAATCCTCGCAAGCGATCAATATTATCGCTTGATGTTATATATTAAATATTAAATAAATGCTTTTAAAATGTATGTATTATTTAATTAAAAATAAACTAAATTATTTATTTGAGCAACTTTCATTATCTTTTTTTTTTTTTTTTTTTTTNGAAAAAAATAAATAATAAATTTCAAGTTATAAGTCGGCTAGATGGCCACTGCGATTGGGCCATTTTTTTTTTTTTTTTTTTTACTTTCAATTTGCGCCATTAGAGGGCGAAAATCTCTGTTTTGAAAATCTTAAAATGGCGGCTAAGCGGAGAGCTGAAAGTCAGGTTCCTCCTGAAGAAAGTGATATGTTAGTTATTAGACCACTCGGTGCTGGTCAAGAAGTTGGTAGATCATGTATAATTATGGAATTTAAAGGTAAAAAAATAATGTTAGATTGCGGCATCCATCCAGGTCTTTCGGGAATGGATGCTTTGCCATTCGTCGATTGGATCGAAGCCGACGAAATCGATCTTCTCCTAATATCGCACTTTCATCTTGATCATTGTGGAGCATTACCTTGGTTCTTACAAAAGACGACATTTCGAGGACGCTGTTTTATGACACATGCCACTAAAGCTATATATCGATGGCTATTGGCAGATTATATTAAGGTTAGTAATATAGGGACAGAACAAATGCTTTATACCGAAAGTGATCTTGAAGCAAGTATGGAGAAGATTGAATTGGTTAATTTTCATGAAGAAAAATCAGTAAATGGTATCAAGTTCTGGTGTTACAATGCTGGACATGTTTTGGGAGCAGCAATGTTTATGATTGAAATAGCCGGAGTTAAAGTTCTTTATACGGGAGACTTTTCCTGTCAAGAAGATCGACATTTGCCTGCTGCAGAAATACCCACTGTTCATCCAGATGTGCTTATTGTAGAATCAACTTATGGAACACACATTCACGAGAAAAGAGAAGAACGAGAAGCACGATTTACTGGATTAGTTCATGATATTGTGAACCGGGGTGGAAGATGTCTAATTCCTGTATTTGCTTTAGGAAGAGCTCAAGAACTGTTACTCATATTAGATGAATATTGGTCTAATCATCCCGAACTACATGACATTCCCATTTATTATGCATCTTCCTTAGCTAAGAAATGTATGGCTGTATATCAAACGTATGTAAATGCAATGAATGATCGTATTCGTCATCAGATTGCTATTAATAATCCATTCGTGTTTAAACACATTTGTAATTTAAAAAGTATTGATCATTTTGAAGATGTTGGTCCTTGTGTAGTCATGGCAAGTCCAGGTATGATGCAAAGTGGTCTTTCAAGAGAGTTATTTGAGAGTTGGTGTATTGATGCAAAAAATGGTGTTATCATTGCTGGTTATTGTGTAGAAGGTACGTTAGCAAAACATATTTTAACTGAACCCGAAGAAATTACCACTATGAATGGGCAAAAGCTTCTTTTGAAGATGTCTGTTGATTACATATCATTTTCTGCTCATACGGATTACCAACAGACTAGTGAATTTATTCGAATGTTAAAACCGCCACATATTGTGCTAGTTCATGGAGAACAGAATGAAATGAATCGACTAAAAGCTGCAATCATTAGAGAATATGAAGATGATAATGAAACACAAGTTGAGGTTCATAATCCAAGGAATACACAGAGTGTAGAATTATATTTTCGAGGTGAAAAAACAGCTAAAGTCATGGGCAGTTTAGCAGTAGATCCTCCAACTCCTGGACATAAGGTTTCAGGTATACTTGTGAAAAGAAATTTTAGTTATCATCTTCTTGCTCCCACTGATCTTTCAAAATATACTGACATGGTTATGAGTGTCGTAAGTCAAAGACTTAGTATTTATTTTACTGGAAACTTCCAATTATTGCACTTTTATTTAAATCAACTGTCTGGTGATGTGGAAGTTATAGATATCAAAGGGAAAAAAGCTCTTAAGGTTTTCAAAAAGATAATGCTAACTCAAGAAGGAAGAAGAATTACATTGGAATGGAATGCCAGTCCTGTTAATGACATGTATGCAGATGCTGTGGTAGCTGTAATATTAAAAACAGAATCATCCATGTTAGGCTCAAAGGCTATACCACCTGTTTTTAAAGTGGACAAAATGCATTATACAGAATGTTTAATGGAAATGTTAGGAAATATGTTTGGAGAAGAATCTGTTAGCAAAATTGTTAAAAATGATAGAATGATGATAACCGTTGATGGTAAATGTGTCACAATTAATCTGAGAACTCAAGAAGTTAAATGTGATGAAGATGAAGGTCTGCAGCAAACAATAAGCACAGCAGTAAAAAAACTGTATATTTCTTTAGCTCCCATGAAAATTTAAATTTTTGTTTTTTTATAACATTATTAAACATAATGTGAAAAATGTAATNCCTGTTGGCATAATGTCTGAAAAACTCAATAAATAAATATAAGAAACATACTTCAACCTGAAATACATTGTTTTGTACAACCTGAAAAACATTCAAAACTTCCTAAAGATGAAATTCATACAATTCCAAAAATATTTTAAGATATGATTAAGTTTTAAATCTTTATAGAAAATATTGTTTATAAAATTGATATAGTATTAATTTTTAATATATGTGAAAAAAATTAAGCAGAAGAAAATTATGAATGAAAAATATGCTTTAATATAATATAACATACCATAAATTAATGCGTAGAAATTAGTATAGTTAGCTTCATATATTTGTACAATTTATCGTTTTGAATATTATGAAGTAGGACAAATGAGAACCCGCAAAGTACACATAGAAAATATATTCGTGTCTTACATATGTATTCGGATTATTACACGCATGATATATATCAATATATACACAATATATGGAAAACTACTGTATATTCTTTAATTACTTTTGCTGTATTTACAATGAATATTTCTAAGTAATTAGTTCCTTTGTGATTTTAAGAACAACACGAACTTCAGAATTTTTTTACTGTTAAGCATTTTTGTTTTTCAAAAAGATAATTCATGCCAGGAAGTGAGAAATATTTCTTACTTCCTGATGAAAATTAAAATGCATGCCAGAATCATCCTCCTGGCATACATCTATTTCCTTACAACAAGTATTTGCAGTCTATATCTTTACAATTTTTAATGCTTTTCTTGAATTTAAGTTTCATTTTGTATTTTCGGATAATATTAAACAAAACTTAAGATTTTTCAGGAGCATTTTTGGAGTTTCGTGAAAATGATTTGATTTGATTTGACATCATCTTTGTAAACAATGTTATTGGAGTTATTCGATCGAATCAAAATACAGTATTAAATTTTACGATGTAAATATTTAAAAAATAATAAATAAATAAACTAAAAGAAAATTTCATTACAAATATCAAAATTACAGTCTGTAATTTTAAGTAAATTACAACCAATATTTTTTTTCAAAACGCCTTTGTTAAGGAAGCTCTTTAAACACGAATCTATTTCATATTGCTTTTATTACTGCAAAAACCTTTTAGAAACTTTCAGGTTCTTGATAAAGAACATGTCGTTGGTGCACAAGAATAGTGACACAACTCAAAAATTTCCAATTTCGAGTTTATTGTAGAAATGTATAGCAAACTTCCCATATTTTTATGTGGAAGAACGAACACTAATATTTATTTCCAAAAAAGATTTGAAAATTTTAAAAATCCAAGATCATGACAAAGCCTTGTAGGAAACAAAAAACTTTTAAATGGCTGTTCTGGAAGATCTATTTTTTTTTTTTTTTTAGTTGTATCTATTCTTGTGCACCAACGATGTGTGAAAATAAATATTACAATACCGATTAGGGGAAAACTGTACCTTGGAACATTTTCGTAATTAATACTTCTTGTGGCGTCTATCGGGAAACAATCAAAACATCTCGTAACATTGTCACGGTTCTGTAATCCAATTTTTGGACGAATAGCCAGTATTTTCGCAGATGCAGTTGAGGTCAAAAGGTTTTTTTTTTTTTTTATCTGTTTGTAAAATTCTAATGTATAGTACGTACAGTACAATGATTGACAACAATAGATATCGTCAGACGGCAAAACTAATGATATTAGCTCACGGATTACATGGGGTAAGATATAACGGTATTCTCGAGTTTCCAGCATTAATTGGAGGCAACATATTTACTTTTCTTCTCAACCATTTTTTGTTGCTTAAAACGTACATCCTGCATCTTGAAACATTGTTCATATTCAATATATTAAAATATTACGTCCAATTATTTTTCAGGCGAAAATGCCAAGCAATAAATCTTGTATCCAGACTAACAACAGCTACAGAAACTTGAAAAAAAGGTCACAGACCACACTTTCGTCTTTACAATGTTATTATAAATGATAAAAAGTATCCGGACAAATGGATTTATGTTTGGGATTAATTAATCCATTATGTTATACTATTTTTATTGTATAGACCAGGGGTGGCGAACCTACAAGTATGTTCTGTGGCACGTAGGGAGAAATTATCTGGCACGCGACGTATCATATGATTTCGATTTATCATCTATCTTTTTCAATCACGCTTTCGGCTTATCACCCGAGCATTCTTTTTCAATCAGCTTTTTTGCATTTATTCTAATTAAAGCGTATTCGTTTAATTTATTTAATTATTGTTATTCGAAGTTTAAAACTTTGGCACGCATAAACATCTAAGTATGCTTATATATGGCACGCGGTCTTAAAAGGTTCGCCACTCCTGGTATAGACTATAGTGTTCCAAGGTAAAAGAGTTCGTGCCTCGCCAACTGTCTGGACAAATGGAGTTTTCCGAGTTTTTTTTATGTTTATAACACCGAAACATGAATTCATTAGGTGTTATATATGTTTATAAACGTTTTGTGATGCAAAAGTATGAAAATCCTTTTCGAATTCGGAAAAGTTTAAATTTTGATTATAATCTTCTTAAATATATTTACATAGAAAGAATAAAGTGCCATTTTATTCATTTTTCGAAAAAATATTGAAACCCAATCATTTACGCCACCTGTCGGAGCAACGTGGAATTTATAAAGAAAATATACAACGTGAACGTAATGGAGAAAATGTATTTTTCTTAAATTCCTGAAATTAGCAGTTTAAAAGGAATAAAATGGAGGAAATTATAATAACAGAATCGTTAAGAAATGTAAGTAACTTGAATACTTTTATTTTTGATCAATTAATAAATAAATTATGAACATATGCTAACTCTACAATATATTTAAGTACAAGTTACTTTAGGTCAAATATATATTTATACACTTAATATACAACAGTATTTGTCATTTTAAATGCATTATTTTATAAATGGCTTTTATATCATTTAATTTATTTTACAGGAAAAAATTAAATTGATTGATAAGAATCAACTGCAAAAAACAAATCATTATTTCTAAAAACAGTAGAAAAAGTATTACTATTGGCTTTTAAAGTACTTATTCTGCTTATGTGAATGGATGAAATGAATAAATATGCCAAATTTTTAAGAAACTTTGAATGGTGCCTACAAGGTTTGGTGATTAATGTTTGGGACTATGTGAATTTAATATGAAACTACATACTTCGGGCAGTATTGTAGTTAAGTTTTTCTTTTATGAATATAGAATGAAGTATTGGAGACTGTATACTGTATCATCTGATTGTTATATAATTCAGATATACATTTTTCTAAATATTGGAGGTTTTGTTGTGCCTATTTCCACCCAAATGTGAAATCCACTTGATTCCATTTCAAATAAATATTTGAGAGAGGTACTTTTGTAGATAGTTGTGGTGTTGATGTCAATCACAGCACGACTGTCTACATGATTGTCTCTTCTCGTATTTGTGGATGCGAATTAAGTACTTTTTAGATGTTAATTCTGGTATGAAAATGGCATATCTTTATTATTTCCTAAACAAAGGAGTAAAATTATCAGAAATAAATAAATTTCATAAGTTATATTACATAATATTCTGATGTTTACACAAGTAGGTATGATATTTATTAATCTTGCAGTAGGTAAAGAAAGAATTCTCCTGTTGGCATAATGTCTGAAAAACTCAATAAATAAATATAAGAAACATACTTCAACCTGAAATACATTGTTTTGTACAACCTGAAAAACATTCAAAACTTCCTAAAGATGAAATTCATACAATTCCAAAAATATTTTAAGATATGATTAAGTTTTAAATCTTTATAGAAAATATTGTTTATAAAATTGATATAGTATTAATTTTTAATATATGTGAAAAAAATTAAGCAGAAGAAAATTATGAATGAAAAATATGCTTTAATATAATATACAATGAAAAAGTAATAAAAAAGAAAATAATATATTTTTGTAAATTTTTTGTTTAGAATCTTCAAAATTTGATAAATAATGAAAGTGCAAACAAGGAGAAGACAGGAATAATAACTGGAAGCATCCTGGATGGAACAATTATATGCTTAGGATGTTCTCTGACAGATAAACATCTTCCTGTGGGTATTCAAGTTGTTGGTTCATTTTTTCAAATGTTACCTGAAGAAGTCACAGAAATACTAGTTCAGCAAACGTTAGAAAACTATGTAACAAATTATGAGGTTGGTTTTATATTATTTGATAAAACATAATTTAATTTAATCTGTAATAAATATTAAAATTAAAAAATTACATAGTTTAAATATTCCAAACTAATTTCTCAAAATATAATTAAGATTATTTAGGTCTGTTACAAGTGTAAAATCTAAATATTTGAAAAATAAGATAAGAGCTAGATTGCTGAAAAAGGAAAGGTGCCTGTCATTCTGAAGGACATGTGTTACAAAATGGATTGGGTTCCACAGGAAGTTTTAATGAATGGTTTGGTTGAAACATGTTTGGTTCCATCTATAATTAACCAGCTGTCTAGAACTGCTTTGCTGTAGATCTAGTTGAGTCCATAATGGGCTAATTAAAAAATTTTCCTTAATACTTACAGAACAAAGTTTTGTAATTTTTTAAAACAATTTCAATTAATTAAATTTCAACAATTTCAAAAATTTTTTTAAACAAATCTCTTTCAAAAATTATTAAATCTGTTTTTAGAACAAAGTTTTAAAAACAGATCTAATAATTTTTGAAAGAGATTTGTTTTAAAAAATTTTTAAATTTAAAACAAAACTTGTTATATTTAATCTATTTTACATATTTTTCTTAATTGTATATTTTGTGATGAATTTTTTACACATCAATCAATTTTTTAATCATTCACAATGATGGTCATGAGACTTTCTGCTCTTAATATAGTTGTCTTTTTGGGTCTTAGTTCTCAAATTTTGAAGGACCACAATATTCTCATTAAAAATAACATGAATATTTTCAAATTATTTTGTTTTATGATTATTACAAAATAAATGATAAATTTTGAATATGATGATTTCAGAGCAGTGATGAAACTGCTATTAAGTATGATTAAATGATGCTTAAGGGCCCATGACATAAGGATGCCCAGTCCAAGCCCTTTCTCATATTTATCATTTTCTTTGGAAAAGTATAAATAAGAGAAGTTTTTTAATTACATAAGCAAAGTATTTATATTTTTTTGTATTTGTTTTATATATAAGTGTCTGCTAATTAATTTAGACAGTTTTTAAAGTTTGTTTTTTGTGATTATACTTATCATTTTACAACACTGCAAAAAATATGACAACACTTTACACTATATCACTATTATGATAATATATTATACAAATAAAATAACAATAAAAATACCAAAATATTGTTATTTTTGTAATTTTTTATCTTTTATTTTTTGTTGTCTAGTAATTTTTGTTTGTTTATAAATCTTTTTGTACGTTACATTTTAATTTTTTTTTCGTTCAACATCAAATTTGCTTATAACAAAACAAAGTTTTAATATGCCTACCTATATTTTCTAACAATTAAAAATTTTAAATTTCCATTCCATCATGTGGAGGGGCTAATCCCTAAGTTTTGAAGGATCCTTTAATGTGAAGGAACTGAATATCAGTTAGTCTTTATATCATTTTTCTAAATACATTCATCTTATGGCTGTAATCATTATTCTAATAATCATTAAAGCACACTAACATTGTAGTATTGCAGTGGTTAAATTGAACAATCAACTCAGCATCTTAACAACTGTGAAACTGTTTTACTTCTCAAAGAAAATTCAAATTAGTGATAAAAAAAGGGATATTTTGGAAATTAAGTGTGTTTTGATATTATGTTTTTATTATATTTAATGGTACTTTTAATTTATTTGTATAATAAAAGCTCATTACATGGGTTGACTCCCATATCACATACTTGCCATTACTGAATATTGGATATCTGATTTTAGGCTACTTTATTCTTGTCCAAAGTTGCATTTTCTTTCTTTACTTTTATTTGAAGTTATTTTACCACTTTCAGTGTTATTATGGCCATAGTAAACAAAGAAAGGCATAGTATGCAGAAGAGTGACAAAAGTCTATTTGACTGTGAAAAATAAGGAGTTGGATTTTCTGAAAGTTTCAAAGACATATGATGTCTCTAAAAGTACATTAGAAATCTATATGAAGAACCTTTTTTGGTTGTTTATGATATTTCTTTTCATGTGCACAAGTTTTTATTGTATGAGTTCTTTTTGTTAATGTTTTTTTTAGGGCAGTCCTCTCTTGCTTAATATGGCATTACTGTATTANTATCAAAGACAGAAACAGAGCAAGAAGCAAATATTTGACTTGTCAAAAGTATATAAAATTTAAGTAAAAATATAATAATCTGAAAAAATTTTACTTTAAGAAAAATATATTTAATTACAGCAAGAAGTTCTAAATTTTGATATTTTACTTCAAACAACAGGAGATCAACAAAACTTCACTCCTGTCATCCATTATCAAAGAAGTAAGTAAAGTATTACTTATGTGATTTTTTTTTTTATTTCTGATATTAGTTTACAAAAATTTATGACTATTGTAGATATATTTATTCTTATAAACTGAAAACATAGATGAGATGCAAGCTAAATTTGGTAGAAAGCCTACCTTTAATTCTGAAGTTGAAGGTGAGTTGTTTATAAAATAGTTTTGAAGTGCAGAGCAACTGATATGAGTCATAGCATTTCAATTGGAAATTAAAAATCATATTCCATATAAGTTTTGTAATAAAAGCCAAGCAGGAAAAAAATGGATGTCAGCTTTTTAAGAAGATGCTTGCAACTGTCATTCCTGCCTGACACCTGAAGTTCCCCATAGTTACACTATAAAGGGTTTTATCAAATGAAAAGTGTCATATTTTTTGATAATATCTCAGGACCTGAATTTGCAAAGATGAGGTATGACTCACACATATTGGCTATCTGATATTTAGGTTAGGGTTGCTATAAGTTTGAAAAGCAACATTATAAAAATTGATGAATACCCAGCATTGAAAGTAGTAGGTACTATGGAAAATAAGAGAATATTTCTAATTAAATTAATTTTATTGAATTATTAACTATTGAACATTTTTTTTAATTATTATTTGTTATTAGGTTACATATTTCAACTAAGTTTTGTTAGCCTCTTATTGCCCACGAGGCAGAAAGAGAAAAAATACTAAACAAAAGCAAGCTAGACTATGGCCAGATATAATCAGTGATTGCACAAAATCATCAATAGTTTTGAAACTATTGCAAAGTATTGCACACGGCCACAAAACACAAAGTATGTGCCAAAGATTACTATATGTGTTCCATGTGAGATTGTGAGGATAGTTAGAACATGCATGCACAACAGCTGTCATTTACAATTGTTATTTGACTTTTAAAATACAAATCTGAATATTTTTGTAAAATGAACAAATTGGGACAATTTGGGAAGATTTTCTAATAGGGACAAAGTATTCTAAATTGGGAAAATCCTGAAAAATCGGGACAGCAACTCTAGTCTTATTGGATATCTAATAATAATATCCTCTTTGATCGAGTAACAGATTTTCCATTTTTTAAAACAGCCAATAATTGTATCTTTTAATGCTATAATTACTAAATTTGTTTTAAAATCTTAAACAAATCTTTAATGTTAACCAGCCATAATGTAAACCAAATTTTAATTGTCTCTAATGACCTTTTTAACTTTTGATTGCATTAATCAAAAATTATTCGATATTGGGTCCTACCATATTTTGCTTAAGAGACAAAAATTTCTAGTTATGTCAGAGTGTGTTTTTCTTATTCTCATTACCACAATAATTATTCACAATAACTATTATGAAATTTGAAGTTCTGATCCTTTGATAAGACATTTATTAATTTTGACTCTCAGTTATGTAAAGTTAGCCACTGCTACTGATAATATAATGTTTCTTTTAACTAGAATAATCTTCTTACAATATATAGATTCAAACAATGTACAGAAGTATATATAAACACATCATATCTGTTGTGTAAGTTTGTATGCAAAAATTGTAATAGTTATTGATTTAAATTAATTTTTATTTTTGAAATTAAAATTTTTGTTATAGAAAATGGTTCTTGTGATGCCAAAATATATCATGGATAAACAAAATTTAAATTATTTGCAATTAAAGCAAAACTAATTTTGATCCTTAGTAAAATGGAACAATACAAAATAATGAACTTGATAACAAGTTCATTATTTTGTATTGTTCCATTTTACTAAATAAACACTTTATAATAATCAAAGGATATTTTATTTTTATGACACATTTCTTTACACTTTTTGATTTCTTTGTTATATTATTATCTACCTTCAGAGTGTACATTTTTACTTGCATGCTTTTACAAACTGTCATAATCTTTCCATTATTTTCGTATTTTATCTTACCAAGTACTTTCTTGTTAACTCTAGGTATATAACCTACATTATACTCTGGATAGTCAGATATATCAAAGTAATTTATCATTTCTTCCATTCTTCGTACCAATCATCAGCTATTCAAAGCTGCATGAGAAATGTCTAACAATACCTGGGATAAAATACTGTATGAAAATGGATATTATTTGAGACAGAAAATCTATTGAAATAATTGCAATAATTATAGAATTATAGCTCATTAATATGCCTTGTATTTCTTTAACTAACTAATCTTCTAGGTAGTTATCACTGATGTATACTGATCCAGCTTTCGTGTTTACAAAAGAAGGTTGGCTCCAGTATAGGAAGGATAAGTTTCTATTATTCAAAAATCATTGAAATAAACAAAATTATTACCAAAAGGAAGTTGATTAATTTATTTTTTGTACTTTTTTCTTGCATTTAATTAAAAGTTATCACTAATAATTATATATTATTTTATTTTTCAAAATATTTTAATGTTTGAAGCATATTTTATAAGATAGTCATTTAACATATAATGATATCAGTTACATTGTATGAAGTTTGACATAAAAATAGTGTTTTTTGAACAGATGGGTGTTTAGGAAAAGTTAAACATATAAATTATAAACTTAAAAAGTATTAATACAAATAGTATAATATAGAATTATTTTACTTCTTTTACTTTGACTTTTTGAATAAGAAAAAGAAATGTATGGTTTTTGTTCCTTGGTTTATTGTGTTATACAAATACTTTTTAAATTTGAATTTCTTTTGTTATGTAAATTTTATATTAATATATAAGAAGAAAATAAATATAGTATACATGTATAAAATATTGGGAAATTATTAATTAAAAATTAATTAATTTAATTATAATATTTTAATTTATAAATTTTATAAACTTATTTTAAGTTTTTGAGATGTATTTAGCAGTAATAAATTCAATTTTTTATCCATTTAAAAAAATTTTTTAAGTATATGTTAAGTGATTTTTACTTTTTTAATTACTGATTTTTATACTTGTGTAGATTAATGATTTTAGTTATGAAATGCCTTTAGATTGCCAATTTAGTATAGAAGCATAGAGAAAATTATTAGAAATTCATAATTATTTTTAATTTTTAATTGTATATTTATTTTCCTTTCAGGAACTGTCAAATATTGAATATGGTATCTTATTATTTGTTTCAAAAATTCCATCAAGCAAAGATATTAATATTGAAGCAAGACTCTATTCACCTTCAGCTCTAATAATTGGAGATTCTGTTCCTATTACTATTTCAGATACAATCTTACAGAAATTCTTATTGCTCAGAGCAAGAGGTGAAATTGAATTATCATTTGAAATTGCTGATAATGAAAAAGGTAAATTTTTTATAAATATCAAGTATCAAAATAAACTGATAAATAACAATGACTTTATATTTTGACAGAATTTCAAGGATTGTCTTTAACATCAGCTATTGAAAAATTGCAAAGTGTATTTTCTGATTTTTCAACTTTTCACTTAAGAGATTCATTATTGCTGTTGCTAAAAAATGACCAAATGATCGATGGTTTAACATGTTGCAATTTGAAGGACTGTATAGAAGCAAGTGATAATTATCAAAGACAGAAACAGAGCAAGAAGCAAATATTTGACTTGTCAAAAGTATATAAAATTTAAGTAAAAATATAATAATCTGAAAAAATTTTACTTTAAGAAAAATATATTTAATTACAGCAAGAAGTTCTAAATTTTGATATTTTACTTCAAACAACAGGAGATCAACAAAACTTCACTCCTGTCATCCATTATCAAAGAAGTAAGTAAAGTATTACTTATGTGATTTTTTTTTTATTTCTGATATTAGTTTACAAAAATTTATGACTATTGTAGAGGTTTTTCAAAGTGTTACTATACCTTTATTTCTTGATGTAATGGCTGTTGTACAAGAAACACTTCCTATTTCCAAACTGGTTAATATGCTAATGGATGGTATTGTTCATCAGTTAGATGAAATTAAGCTATGTCTTTTAAAATTTAAGCAGGTATATAGCAAATAATTATTCTTTGTATTAGAATAGATAATATTAATGTTGTCCTAAAATATGTTACTTTTTTCAGGGAACAGAATATTTTACACCAGTTTCTTATTATTTTTGGCCAATAACAAGTAATTATCCAATATCAATTACTTATCCACATAGTTTAAATGATAAGCAGCTAGGTAAGTTGTTTTGATATTCAGTATAAAAAAATCTCTGTTGAAAACATCATAAATTGCAAACAATTTATTCTTAGAGTCTTATCGAAAAGAACTACATCAACAATTACTGCTACCACTTGACAAACCATTATTACGTTTAAGTAATAAAAAAATATTCATAAACGACTTAAATGAACCGTATTTAACTAACACTCATGTTGGTCTAGCTTCTTCAGGCAGTAAGTATTATGTAAATTAAAGTATTTTATATTATTTCATATTGAAATTTCCTTTTTAATATAGTACAAAATGGTAAACCTTCTATTATTTGGGGAACATACACCTATCATCATTATATGCAAGACAGAATTGACGATAATGGTTGGGGTTGTGCATATAGATCATTGCAAACCATCATATCTTGGTTCCGACATCAAGGTTATACAGATGTTGCTATACCTACACACAAAGAAATTCAGCAGGTATTATATAGTAGCTGATGTTGAACTGCTTTGAAATAATATAGAATAGGAATTTAACTATTATTCTTAGTTTTTTTTTTTTTAAACAATGTCATTATGCTAAAATATTGAAGTGAATATTTTGATGTTTTCATGCAAAGTTAGTTGTGCATGTACTGTTTGTGTGAAGAAAGCATTACAGAAGAATGTAATGGTATTGAATGAGAATAGTACGAGGGTCGTCCCAGAAGTACCCGACCTGACATAGATGGCAGTACTTGTTTGAAAAAAAAACGACTGTGTTGGAAAGTATCAACCTTATAAAGCTTAAGTTTGAAGTTTGAAGACTTTACATTGTATAGTATTTTTTGGCAGCCATAAATAGTGAACAATCTCAGTGAATTTGTAAACATGGAAAAACTTTGTCATCGTTATGTGATACAATTTGAAAGGTTCAGTCCAACCAATATTAAAGCTGAGCTAGATTCTACTCTGGGGGAGTCTGCTCCCTTGTTTACAACAATAAAATATTGGGTGGCCGAGTTTAAACGAGGCCGTACAAGCTGCCAAGACGAACATCGTAGTGGTCAACCAAGTGAGGTGACCATGCCAGAAATGGTGGAAAAAATCCACAAAATGGTATTGGATGACAGTCAACTCAAAGTGCGAGAGCTAGCAGACATGATAGGCATTTCAGAAAGTGCTGTAGATTGCATTTTAACTGAAAATTTGGACATGAGAAAGCTGTGCGCAAGATGGGTGCCGTGTTTGCTCACAATGGGACAAAAACAGCGTCGTGAGGATGTTTCAATCGAGTCTTTGGCAATGTTTCACAGCAACAAAGCCGAGTTTTTGCATTGATTCATAACCATGGATGAAACATGGGTCCATCACTTCACACCTGAGATGAAAGAACAGTCGAAACAATGGACTGAAAGGGGAGAATCAGCTCCAAAGAAGGTGAAAACAGTTCCATCTGCTGGCAAGGTCATGGCATCAGTTTTCTGGGATGCGCCCAGGAAAAACAATCAACAGCAAGTATTATGCGAACTTATTGCAGCGCTTGAGTGATGAAATCAAGAAAAAACGGTCACATTTGGCGAAAAAGAAAGTGTTGTTTCATTAAACAATGCACCAGTTCACACATCCGTTATTGCGATGGCCAAAATCAATGAGTTAAGGTTCAAATTGTTTCCTCACGCACCCTATTTGCCAGATTTAGCCCCCTTGGATTATTTTCTCTTTCCAAACTTAAAAAAATGGTTTGGTGATAAAAGATTTACCAACAATGAAGAGGTGGAGTCTGCGGTTGATAGCTATTTTGAGAAGCTTGACAGTTCTCACTATAAACAGGTGATCGAAGCTATTGTACATTGCTGAAAAAGTGTATCGAGCTAAAAGGAGACTATGTTGAAAAATAAGGATATGTTTTACCAAATTTTTTGTGTCTTCTTTGTTAGGTCGGGTACTTCTGGGACTACCCTCGTATTTCTATTTTTAAAATAGACTTTAAACGATACTAAAATTAGTTTATAATTTTAGTATTGCTTTATCCATTTCAAACTTAAGATAGATTAGGTCTAGAAATTATTTAAATATATATAAAAGAAATTTTTTGTAATGGCGGTGTGTGTATATATGTACAGTTTAACCCGATTATAACATCATCAGATGTAACGACAACCCTAATATAATGTCAAATTTTTATCTGTCTCATGATTTTACTATACTAGATAATGTTAAAAAACCCACTTGTAACAACATAAAATCCTGTTTTAACGTCATATTTAAAGCACACCCAGATTTACAAAATTAGATTACAAATTTTATTTAACAAAGAAAATATAGTGCATGTACTTTGTGTTCAGTTTATAGGGACAGAGTCCACTTCCTAGAACGACTGTGGGTGGTACTCTCACCACCTGACTTCAGTGGGATGAGGTTTGTCATATCTTTAAACAACATGACGATCAGTTAGTCTGCATAGTTACTCATGTTATTTTATACAGATGCAGATATTGTTGAGCAAATTAAATCTTCAGATGAAAAAAATGATGATGAAGATAAAACATCTGACTGAGAAAATGAAGTGCCGTCAACCAGGGAAGTGCATAATGCAATAAGATTATTGAAAATGTTTTACAGGTCTCAGAAAACTTCATTGAAAATAATGAATAAAGTGTATGATTTAGAAAATGACATTGATAAACAATTTTTAGGTGAAAAACACCTGCAATATAAAATAACTGACTTTTTATGTGAATATTGTTAGTGTGTCTTTTTAATTGGCATACATTAGTTTAACCTTTTGTTGCTTTTTGATTTGACATTATTCTCAAAACCAGAAGTGCCACCATTATCAAAACTTAAGACAAATAGAAATTTCTTATAAAAGGTAATTTTTGAAATTTTTAATTATATCGATGTAAACTTAAACATAAAAATGTAAATAAAATTGATTTAAACATTTAGTTTGCACTTTTATACATATGATAATAAATGATTATTACCATTATAGATAAAATATACTGTATTACCATTAAGAAATAATTTTATGGTAATACATATGATGTTAAATTAGAATGGATTTTATAATAGATTCTTAAACACGCTTGGTACTTTTTACGGGACTGAAATTATGACTGCAGATAACGACACTCAGTTATAACTTCAAAAAATTGCCAGTCCGATGGATGGCATTATAATCGGGTTAAACTGTATATATATAATCATACAATATATTGATTTACCTAATTTTATATAATAAATTTTACATAATGAAATGTTTACAAAATTTTTTTTCAGGAAAAAATCAATTTTTATAAATTTATTTTAATAAATATTCTTTCAGTTTTGTTTTTTTGTATTCTCACAGTGGCCAAACTGATTTACTGTAAACTTTATTCCCTAAAAAAATACAAAAATATGATGATTACATAAAAGCTATACTATTGAAACATTATATTTGTGCTCCTGTTGGAAAATGAAATACAAAAAATATTTAAGATACTCTGTCTGTAGAATAGGATAAATCATTTAATTTAATTTATAGGCTTTAGTAACTCTGGGAGATAAACCATCATCATTTGTGGGTTCAAAAAAATGGATTGGTTCTCAAGAAGTCAGTTATTGCCTGAATCATTTTATTGGAGTAAGTATGTGAAATGTAAGCATTTCAAAATATTTTGAAACTTACTATTAAAATATTCTAGGTGACATCCAAAATAATGTTTGTTAGTTCTGGTTCTGAGCTGGCAAATAAGGGTAGAGAATTATCCAGTCATTTCTCAACACAAGGTACTCCAATTATGATAGGTAATTATAATTTTTATAATTTGCAACATATAGTGTATTTTATTTTTGAAATATAACCTCCAGGATGGTGGATGCCCTTAACATTTTTTAAGTAAATTTATTATTATAGAAATCTAAACTAGATCATACAGTTCAAGATTGTAATTGAATATTGACATTTTTAATAAATTGTTTCATTCAAATTAAATGCAATATAAATTGATATTTCTTATTAGTTAATGTTTATGATGCCTTTTAATTATAATTTTCAATTTAGTTAATTTCTATTCTATTAAAAGCAATGTTACAGTAACATGCAATAATTTTATCTAATATTAATGGTAGTTTTACAAAACTTGTGTTTTATTATTTTAAAAATCCAATTATAGTTCAAATAAAATCAGTGTATAAATTATAGAATTTAAATTTTTTCAGGTGGTGGTATGTTAGCTCATACAATACTTGGAGTGGATTTTAACGAAAGTAGTGGGGAACTAAAATTCCTGATCCTAGATCCACATTACACTGGGTCCGAAGATATCAATATAATTCAAAATAAGGTATTTCATTTTATTTCCTGTATTAGCTTTTGGTCAAGTACAGTATTAGAAAACTTTTTTCTTTTCAGGGTTGGTGTGGATGGAAAGATCCTTCTTTCTGGGATGCTTCAGCATTTTATAATTTATGTATGCCTCAACGTCCAATAGAAATCTAAATTCACACTAGAGTCAATATATATTAATGCACAAATTTATTTTTGTAACTTATATATATATAATTATATTTGTACATATAATTCAAAATAGAATTCTACTTTGAGGATAATAATTTGCATTTACATGAGTTGCCTTTTACGCAATTGTTAAAAGTATTAAAAATTTCTCAAAATATCAAAAGTTTATTTTCCATTTCATCTACCCAAAGTTTTTTTGTTCAGTATGTACATAAATACAATAGTCTGATCCAAATTTGTCTTAAATAAAATTTCCTTTCATATTGAGTATGATCGAAACATTTCCACAGCATAACATTTAGTAGCATTCATTCAAAACAGGAAGGAGATTCTTTACATTCATTCATTACACAATTATTATTTTCTAAGATTGTTTTTCTTCTTTATCATCATCATCTCCAAAATTTAACCAGCTCTGTTCTACAATAGCAGCTACTCTCTTTTCATATTCTCGTCTGTTTTCTTGATAGAGCTGGGCTGCTAGACTGTTTGCAGGACTATTTGGATTGGGTTCATCAAGTAATGACTGGAAAATAAAAATTCGTAATTGTAAGTATATTGTAAACTTTCAAGGGGGGAAAAATTAAATTTTACCTGTATTGATGTTAATATTGCAGAAACGTCGTAAGTTGGACTCCAACGATTTTGTAATATATCTAGACAGATACTCCCATCTGCATAAACTACATCATACAAGAAAAATACATTCAATTATATTCCATAAATTTTTAAAATAAACTCAATCATGTAAATTAATGTAGAACATGACTCAAATTTTAGTCTGCATGATTACATTAACATTTAAAAAAATTATTTAATATTGTTTGCTACATACATACACACAGAAAAGTTTTCTTAGTGTAAATTTAATATGGCATTATGAATAATGACTAAAATGGCCACACAGTGATAAATATAGATTAATTTATTAAATTGACCAGACATTATGCATAAAGTACATTCCCTTTGTGCAATTTGATTTTCAAAAATAGTCCACTTTTTCCATTGAAATATTTTAAGAATTATTTATTTTTGGTAATTATGTTAAGAAAAACATGCTCATATTATATGTTTTATATTAATATAGCCATGTTTATTACATTAAACTCATTAACGCACACTATATAATAATTTATTTTACATTATTAAATTAGCTTTGGCAATAATTTGTGAAAATTTCACTTAAAAATATATTTTTTTTAAATCAGTATTTTAAAAAATATTCTAGTTTTTAACTGTGTTAATGTCAACAAAAAGTATTAACAAAATTTATATAATTTTGTCATAAAAAACCAACTTAAAGGAAACTTTTGGAATTTATGGAGTAAAAAAAATTTAATATTTTGTTGGATGATCATTATCATCACTTTGCCCAATAGACACTGAGGAGTGATGTTAGCAGTATTCATATTGACCAGTCGATGTGATAAATTATAATAAAGAACATGAAATTTATTATAATATCCGACGTTTGTCATTATTCATAATGACTGGGTATTGTTTATAATGCCCATATTAATCACTTAGTCCATAACATATATACACATGTGCACTTAATATGCAGAGCCCACCACATGTATTTTGTGTGTGTGTGTGTGTGTGCGCGCATATACATACATATATACACACAGGTGTACTCGTCAAAGGATTAAGACTTCTCTGAACCTCAAGCAATTTTAGTTTCTGAATAAAGTCAGATGCAATAAATCCTTCCTGTCATCATTCTGATCAAGTGGTTTTGTAAGAAAAATATTCAATCAATCAATCAACATTTATTTGCTATGGCTTTCGCCTTTACAAAGGGGGTTACAAAATCGTGCAACATTAACAGATACAAACATAAATTATACATAATTTCAAAAATATTAAAACTTAATTAATAATGTTATGTTAACATGTTTAATAAATAACAGAAAATTTTATAAACTTTAAATAACATGTCAGAGCTTAAATTATCATCGTATAAACAAAACATATCAAAATCAGTCGTTAATAATGTATCCCTTAAATGTTCAGTAATTTCACAAGATACAAATAAATGGTTCTTAATATTTTCACAGAGTCGATTACATAAAGGGCAGTTAGAATGGGCGGAAATATTCATTCTACGCCTATTTAATATAATAGTATAGTCATTAAGTCGCAATTGAATTATCAAGGATTTAATATTATAACTTAAATTTGATAATAAATAATATCGAGGTGTCCATGGAGCTATTAAGGAAGTCTCAAAAAACCTACTCTTTTGTTCAATATATTGAATGTCTTGAGCCCAGTATTTATCTTTTAATGACTGAAATATTTCAGCCATAAAAAGGTTTTTATTTGAGACCTGAATATAATAGTCAGTAGAATAACCTAATTCAGACAATAAATTTTCAACTGAGGAGGACCAAGTTACAAACGAAGAATTTCCGACTGTTAATTTCAATTTGTTATAAATCAACTTTCTAGGGTCGCAATCTGGTAACTCCAAAATTTTACTCCAGTATCTAAAAATACTCATTGTTAAACGTATAGCCATTGGTGGACGACCCAATTCAAATCTTAAGACAGGTCCAGGCACCGAACGATTAATATGAAATATCGATCTAATAAATCTCAATTGCGTCTTCTCCAATTTATCAACAAAAGATGGTCCCCAAATAGGGAACATATACCCCAAACTTGAACGTATCAAGGAGTCAAACAATCGATAATACGACTTAATAGAAGACTGCTTCATTCTGACCATAAGTTTTATTAAATTAGAAAGCTGTAGTTTATATTTCAAAAACAATTTATCTAAGTGAAAAGAAAAAGAACCCTGTGGAGTAAAATAAATACCCAGATACTTATAGGACGAAACTATCTCCAATTCAGAGTTAAATAAATAAAATTTATCAGCTTTCCCCAGTCTACCCCCTCTCCGAAAAACCATTACTTTAGATTTAGTCTCATTAATAAGTAATTTATTAGACTTACAGTAATCTTGTAAAATATCAAGTTTTTTCTGAAGACCAATAGGTGAATACGAAAATATTACAATATCGTCAGCAAATAAAAGACAGTTCAATTCTACCTCTGGTGATATGGATATACCCATTGTATTATGATTACAAAAAAATTCCGAGAGATCATTAACGAATAAATTAAACAAAATAGGACTAAGAGGTTCACCTTGTGGAAGCCCTTTATTAGCAGTTACCGCCTCCGAAAGACAATGATTAACTTCTATTTGATAAATGGTGTTCGAAAACAATTGTCTTATAAGATTAATAAAAGATGATGACATGCCTATTCGAGAAAGCTTCGACCATAAAATATCATGATCTATTGCATCAAACGCCTTTGACAAATCAATAAATCCAACGTATAATTTTCTCCGCTTCTTAGTCAAATTTAATTGCAAAATTCCAAGAAATATAAATAAATTATAATCAACACCTCTATTCGCTACAAAAGCACCTTGACCAATAGAAATAGTGTGATACCGCTCAAGCCAAAGACGTAAACGATTAGCCAATAACGTAGAAAAAATTTTTCTAATTACACTAATTAGCGATATCGGACGATAATTCATAGGATCAAACCGATTACCCTTCTTATATATCATTTTTAAACAAATATTTTTCCAAGTAATGGGAAAAGAATAATTAGTTTTAAAATTATTAAACATAGATAACAAATCGTTTAGAATATTAGTCGGGAGGAATTTAACCATCTCAGCCTTAACAGCATCTAGTCCAGGGGCTTTATTATTTTTTAAAGATCGTACCACAAATTGTAATTCATCAAATGTAAAATTTCCATCGAGCAATGGATCCATATTAACATTAGTACAAATAGACAGTACAACTAAAGATGGTCCAGAAAAAAATTTTCTCAAGTAATCCGACCAATCACGAATAGAGATGTTATTATACACAGCTTTACCATGTCTAAATTTATTAACAATTTTCCAAAATTCTGCAGAGTTTTTAATATGTGATAATTGGAAGTTAATCTTATTCCAAAATAGTTTCTTTTTGGCTTTACATATAGATTTAAAAGTTTTTTCCAAGTTAGAATAAATAATAAAGTGTTGTTCAGTTCTTGATCGCCTAAATGCTCGTAAAGCACGATTCTTCTCTCTCTTCAATCGTAGGCAATCAATGTCAAACCAAGACTTAACAAATTTTCTTGAACAATGATGTTTAACATACATATTACTTTGAGTTACAGACTCAAGAATCACGTCAACAAAGGACGAATAAAAAGAAAAGGAATCCAGAAAAAATCCACCCTTAATATCTGCATATCGCTTAGTGACATTATACAAATACTGTAAGAAAAATATTGATAAGAGGGAATATCACTATTTATGTCAATTTTTTTCTTGGCACTTTAACATACCTTGTATTTCAAATATAATATAACAGTTTGAACATGGAGCTATTCAAAAGCATCTTATCAGGAATCATTTAATGAAAAAATACTAATTTTTAAGCAAAGACAAATGATTTAGTTGGAAAACATGTATAAAAAAAGTCAATGTAATCATTAAATTAAAATTATTACAAATATTTTTTTTGTTTGAAATTTTCAGTTCAAAATAGCAATTTCACATGCACCAACTCAAACCTCTATCTATTACTATATAATAATATTTTTTTTAAAAAGCTTACCATTTGGATGAAACATTTTTGAAACAAATCTAACAGTTGCTGGTTTATTAGGATATTCTTCTGTAAATTCTAAAGTTAACTTAAAAGTACCATCTTCAAATGGAGTATCATGTGGCCTAAAAGAAAATGTATTAATTAATTAAAAATAATAGATAAATGATTTAATCATTTACATTAATAAATTTTTTATTTTTCTTTATTGTATTCATTTATAGAAAATATTCATATTAAAAATATGATATCCTCAGTAATGGAGTTGTTTAACTTAATGATCATTAAATCAAAACTAAGGAGAATATTTAAAAAGTAAATTAATATACACAGATGAAATGGGCAAGAAAGATTTGTAATGAAGTTGGATCAGTATAGATTAAAAAAAAAACCTTATATTAAAATACTTCATAAATAATAGATATTTTAAAAATTTTTTCAGAATTCAAACATAAAATGGTAATACTAAATGCCATTCACTTTCTTGAAACTTCCATGTCAGAAAATATTTACAATGTGATTCTGGAATAAGTGGAACATTGAAAAATATGTCTTTTTGTAATTCTGTAATATGGTAGCACAATGACTTAAATGTAGAGAATATAAAGGTGCGCTACACACTACAATTTTGCATCTTTGATGCTATTTTTTCAAAAATTTTAAAAATCAATAATGTGGGGTAAATTATTTCAACAGGAAATGGAGGAAAATTGCAACAAAATATGAAGGTATCAGAACATTCTCTTATTCAAGATATTCAAACACAATGGAACTTTACATTTGATGTGCTGGATCAATTAATTCAATGACAACATCCCATTGTGGCCTATTATGAAGAAAACAGCATTAACTGTTTGATCAGTTACCAGTGAATCTAGCTTCAGATGTTCTGGATATATTAAGGTCATTTAAACAACTTACTCTTGAACATTGTGCAAGAGATGCTATTGAAGCAATGATTATTCTTACAATATCAGTGATATAGGTCTTACAACAGACTGTACTAATGACAGCATCAAAACTAACAGCATCAATAGAATATGTAATACATTCTCAAATCACTAGAGATGTTCTGCATATCTCCACATTATTTGATTCATGATTTTAATTTTCATTCATTGAGGATGAATTAACAGAGAAAATTTTAAGTTAAGTGTGACACTGTTGTTACTTGAGTTGCAAGAGTCTTGTGCCACTCCCAAGATCAAATTGCAAATTGAATGCAACAACAGATTCATCTATCAAATCAGAACACCAAAAAAATTTAAGGATCTTTTGATTTATGGGAAGTTTAGAATGCACACCGGAATCAGCATCTTATGAAAATCATTTGTAAAAAGCAAAACAAATTCAGTCTTTTGGTACAGCAGAAAATGTGGTTAAAAATATTCTGAAGTATAAGATGATGTGTTTCCAATGGGCTCAACCACCATTAGAAACAAAGCATTAGTTTGAGTTTGCATTACAGTAATACCCCGAACTTATGCGATAGGTGGGACCGAGCGGTAACCGCGTAAGTTGAATTCGCGTAAGTCGGGGTATAATTTCGCATATAAATACATACAAATAATTTTTAATTGGGGCCTGATACTAAAGAAAACAATAATTTAGAAAAAAAATGTTTAATAAAATCTTAGATAATTCATATGTATAACAAATTAGGCCTATATTATTTTACAATTTTTCACATTTACTTGATTATTACGCCATAATTTTAACATTGTTTCCATCTCAGCGATAATACTGTGACGTTTACGAATGATGCTTGAATTTAAAAATTGAGCATTTTTCACAGCTCCGAGAATTTTTTCTTTGCCTTTTATAATTGTTCTGATCGACAATTCCGGTAGATCAAACTTCTTTGCCAATTCACAAATTTTCATTTTTTTATCAAAGTCTTTAATAATGAGTTAAACGAGTTAGTAACGAATTGTTCGAAAAGTCTAACGAAATAGGAATAACGATGACTTCATTCTTGTTTAACTCGTTCGACTTTACGAACATACCCAATGTTAACTTTACATTCCTTTACAAACAAGAAAAGAAAAACCTTACAAAGATAAAGTTTTTTTTTTCTTGTTTGATGCAGAAGAATCAGTTCTACTTCGTTTGGATGACATTGTAGAGTCTCTCGAGTCTCCGTAGATATAACAAACACAGAAATAAATAACACAAAATAAATTGTAGCTATGTGTGGATTCCGCGCGACACATCCGAACATGTAAGTTGAACAATAGTGTGGGGGGAGTGAGTAATCAAGGGTTGCGTGGCGCTCAAACAAAACACGAATCGACGAAATTTGAAAATCGCGTAACTCTGGGTTCGTGTAAGTCAGGGTAGCGTAAGTCGGGGTATTACTGTACTAATCAGAGGATGATGATTTCTTGCTGTAAATAATGATTGATAACAAAATGTGAGTATTACCCTTTTGAACTGGCTATTAAATCTGAGTATGAAATGGATGCATCCTAAATCATTAAAACTCAAAAAATTCAAGATACAAGCTTCTGCCAGTAAAGTTAAGATGTATAAAGTGGTGGACAAAAATATAAGGTCATTGTAAAAAGTGTGATAACTTGTTATAATTTCTATACATGAATAAGGCAAAATGAATGATGAGAACCAATAGCATAGAAAAATATTTGCATAAGAGTTTATATATAAAAAAAATCAAATAGATGTATTTAATGGTCTTTACTTAATTCAATGTACAGCATCTCAGACAAAAGTATATGGTTAATACCGTGTTTTTGCAATTTGTTCATCTGGGTTAAGTAACAATGGTCAAATCATGGAAGAATTTTCTCCTCTCTCTAGCTTTAAAAACCAGATTAACATATCATCAATTATCATTCAATACGGGAGCAAACAGCAACAAACATGTCAGAAGGTATACAATTGTCTGAGTTCAAAGGTCAAATTATAAGAATGAAACAATGTGGAAAAATGGGAGCACAAATTTTTCTGCTATAGGACATTTGAAGATTGTTGCAAGCACCTTTCTACAAAATCCAGCCAAATATGGAACAAGAAAGTGGTCAGGAAGACCAGCAGCATTAACCAACAACCAGAAAAACTAAGTAACATTTCTTGCACGTTATAAATTCTTTTCTTAGTGGCACATCTTCCATGTATCTCCAATCTCTAGAACAGTGTAAAGAGTCTTAGCTGCCAACAAAATGTTACATTTCATAAAATTGAAAGCTATCCTCCTTTAACTGTACATAACAAAAAGTATATGATTGGTGTGCCTCAGAAAGATTGTAGAAAAGTTGCACTGTTGTAGAGTGTTGGTCTTATATTGTAACTATAGAGGGTTGGTTCACTGTCTATTTTTTGAATTATCTGTCTAGGAAACAAGATGATATGCAAAAAGACATATCTATCAATCTTCATTACCAACTAGAATCTGCAAAACAAGAAATGTATACACAGCACAATTATGGCAAAACAATGGGTTACCAGACAGTAGAATATTACTGCATATGAATGTACAGATAAAAATATTCTGATTGGTTATGTTAATATAAATAAAATCTCTCTTAGTGGATTATGAATATTCACAATATACGAAGAGAACTAGTCAAAACCTGCAACAGATATATATATATTAGAAAATATAACTTATTTATAGTAAAAATAGCATTTCATATGTAACTTATAACAAAAGAGTGCTTCATACAGAAGTGATAAGCTGGGTATTACATATATAATGCTAAAGAAATAGTTAATTATTGTATAAAATTTTAGTATATTTACCCAAATATAACAGCATTCCACATCATAATATTGTTATCTGTTGGTGCTCCACTAACCCCAGCAGGAGGGTCTTCTTGTAATCTATTTAAAATAATTGAAGTTTTTTAAAATCTCTCTCATCAACTCAATATTTAAACAAATGCTATATTTTTATTGCCAAACTGTAAATTAACTAAACAAAAATAAATGATTTTATAGGATAATATTTAACCAATTATTACTAAAAGTCTTTAAAAATAACATTAATCAACACTAATATTAACAAATATATTCTTCAATACTGATTATTTTCTCACCATTTTACATCAAAATGAATAACAGCAAGCATAGTAACATACCAGTTTGGACTAGCCAGTGAGCTAGAGCCACTTACATTTTAATCTTGAATAGGTGTTTAGGAATAAGGTTATAGCATTAAACTAAATTTATTTGATTTTGTTTTAAATGCTTAAATAATGAATGTATCTATTTTCAAAATGTCTCATCAAAAAATTAGTGAGAGCCACCAGTTTTAACCCATATGATTTTTTCATAAAATAGATAAACCAACATAAAATATCACAAGTAGAGGATTTGATCCCGGGATCTCGAAAATCGGGATCCCGGGATCCCGACTACTTTTCAGTCCCAAAATTTTCGGGATTGAATTTTTCTAATCCCGAGATTTTCGGGATTGACATCATTTTAAAAAAGTTGCNACCTGCAATATAAAATAACTGACTTTTTATGTGAATATTGTTAGTGTGTCTTTTTAATTGGCATACATTAGTTTAACCTTTTGTTGCTTTTTGATTTGACATTATTCTCAAAACCAGAAGTGCCACCATTATCAAAACTTAAGACAAATAGAAATTTCTTATAAAAGGTAATTTTTGAAATTTTTAATTATATCGATGTAAACTTAAACATAAAAATGTAAATAAAATTGATTTAAACATTTAGTTTGCACTTTTATACATATGATAATAAATGATTATTACCATTATAGATAAAATATACTGTATTACCATTAAGAAATAATTTTATGGTAATACATATGATGTTAAATTAGAATGGATTTTATAATAGATTCTTAAACACGCTTGGTACTTTTTACGGGACTGAAATTATGACTGCAGATAACGACACTCAGTTATAACTTCAAAAAATTGCCAGTCCGATGGATGGCATTATAATCGGGTTAAACTGTATATATATAATCATACAATATATTGATTTACCTAATTTTATATAATAAATTTTACATAATGAAATGTTTACAAAATTTTTTTTCAGGAAAAAATCAATTTTTATAAATTTATTTTAATAAATATTCTTTCAGTTTTGTTTTTTTGTATTCTCACAGTGGCCAAACTGATTTACTGTAAACTTTATTCCCTAAAAAAATACAAAAATATGATGATTACATAAAAGCTATACTATTGAAACATTATATTTGTGCTCCTGTTGGAAAATGAAATACAAAAAATATTTAAGATACTCTGTCTGTAGAATAGGATAAATCATTTAATTTAATTTATAGGCTTTAGTAACTCTGGGAGATAAACCATCATCATTTGTGGGTTCAAAAAAATGGATTGGTTCTCAAGAAGTCAGTTATTGCCTGAATCATTTTATTGGAGTAAGTATGTGAAATGTAAGCATTTCAAAATATTTTGAAACTTACTATTAAAATATTCTAGGTGACATCCAAAATAATGTTTGTTAGTTCTGGTTCTGAGCTGGCAAATAAGGGTAGAGAATTATCCAGTCATTTCTCAACACAAGGTACTCCAATTATGATAGGTAATTATAATTTTTATAATTTGCAACATATAGTGTATTTTATTTTTGAAATATAACCTCCAGGATGGTGGATGCCCTTAACATTTTTTAAGTAAATTTATTATTATAGAAATCTAAACTAGATCATACAGTTCAAGATTGTAATTGAATATTGACATTTTTAATAAATTGTTTCATTCAAATTAAATGCAATATAAATTGATATTTCTTATTAGTTAATGTTTATGATGCCTTTTAATTATAATTTTCAATTTAGTTAATTTCTATTCTATTAAAAGCAATGTTACAGTAACATGCAATAATTTTATCTAATATTAATGGTAGTTTTACAAAACTTGTGTTTTATTATTTTAAAAATCCAATTATAGTTCAAATAAAATCAGTGTATAAATTATAGAATTTAAATTTTTTCAGGTGGTGGTATGTTAGCTCATACAATACTTGGAGTGGATTTTAACGAAAGTAGTGGGGAACTAAAATTCCTGATCCTAGATCCACATTACACTGGGTCCGAAGATATCAATATAATTCAAAATAAGGTATTTCATTTTATTTCCTGTATTAGCTTTTGGTCAAGTACAGTATTAGAAAACTTTTTTCTTTTCAGGGTTGGTGTGGATGGAAAGATCCTTCTTTCTGGGATGCTTCAGCATTTTATAATTTATGTATGCCTCAACGTCCAATAGAAATCTAAATTCACACTAGAGTCAATATATATTAATGCACAAATTTATTTTTGTAACTTATATATATATAATTATATTTGTACATATAATTCAAAATAGAATTCTACTTTGAGGATAATAATTTGCATTTACATGAGTTGCCTTTTACGCAATTGTTAAAAGTATTAAAAATTTCTCAAAATATCAAAAGTTTATTTTCCATTTCATCTACCCAAAGTTTTTTTGTTCAGTATGTACATAAATACAATAGTCTGATCCAAATTTGTCTTAAATAAAATTTCCTTTCATATTGAGTATGATCGAAACATTTCCACAGCATAACATTTAGTAGCATTCATTCAAAACAGGAAGGAGATTCTTTACATTCATTCATTACACAATTATTATTTTCTAAGATTGTTTTTCTTCTTTATCATCATCATCTCCAAAATTTAACCAGCTCTGTTCTACAATAGCAGCTACTCTCTTTTCATATTCTCGTCTGTTTTCTTGATAGAGCTGGGCTGCTAGACTGTTTGCAGGACTATTTGGATTGGGTTCATCAAGTAATGACTGGAAAATAAAAATTCGTAATTGTAAGTATATTGTAAACTTTCAAGGGGGGAAAAATTAAATTTTACCTGTATTGATGTTAATATTGCAGAAACGTCGTAAGTTGGACTCCAACGATTTTGTAATATATCTAGACAGATACTCCCATCTGCATAAACTACATCATACAAGAAAAATACATTCAATTATATTCCATAAATTTTTAAAATAAACTCAATCATGTAAATTAATGTAGAACATGACTCAAATTTTAGTCTGCATGATTACATTAACATTTAAAAAAATTATTTAATATTGTTTGCTACATACATACACACAGAAAAGTTTTCTTAGTGTAAATTTAATATGGCATTATGAATAATGACTAAAATGGCCACACAGTGATAAATATAGATTAATTTATTAAATTGACCAGACATTATGCATAAAGTACATTCCCTTTGTGCAATTTGATTTTCAAAAATAGTCCACTTTTTCCATTGAAATATTTTAAGAATTATTTATTTTTGGTAATTATGTTAAGAAAAACATGCTCATATTATATGTTTTATATTAATATAGCCATGTTTATTACATTAAACTCATTAACGCACACTATATAATAATTTATTTTACATTATTAAATTAGCTTTGGCAATAATTTGTGAAAATTTCACTTAAAAATATATTTTTTTTAAATCAGTATTTTAAAAAATATTCTAGTTTTTAACTGTGTTAATGTCAACAAAAAGTATTAACAAAATTTATATAATTTTGTCATAAAAAACCAACTTAAAGGAAACTTTTGGAATTTATGGAGTAAAAAAAATTTAATATTTTGTTGGATGATCATTATCATCACTTTGCCCAATAGACACTGAGGAGTGATGTTAGCAGTATTCATATTGACCAGTCGATGTGATAAATTATAATAAAGAACATGAAATTTATTATAATATCCGACGTTTGTCATTATTCATAATGACTGGGTATTGTTTATAATGCCCATATTAATCACTTAGTCCATAACATATATACACATGTGCACTTAATATGCAGAGCCCACCACATGTATTTTGTGTGTGTGTGTGTGTGTGCGCGCATATACATACATATATACACACAGGTGTACTCGTCAAAGGATTAAGACTTCTCTGAACCTCAAGCAATTTTAGTTTCTGAATAAAGTCAGATGCAATAAATCCTTCCTGTCATCATTCTGATCAAGTGGTTTTGTAAGAAAAATATTCAATCAATCAATCAACATTTATTTGCTATGGCTTTCGCCTTTACAAAGGGGGTTACAAAATCGTGCAACATTAACAGATACAAACATAAATTATACATAATTTCAAAAATATTAAAACTTAATTAATAATGTTATGTTAACATGTTTAATAAATAACAGAAAATTTTATAAACTTTAAATAACATGTCAGAGCTTAAATTATCATCGTATAAACAAAACATATCAAAATCAGTCGTTAATAATGTATCCCTTAAATGTTCAGTAATTTCACAAGATAAAAATAAGTGGTTCTTAATATTTTCACAGAGTCTGTTACATAAAGGGCAGTTAGAATGGGCTGAAATATTCATTCTACGCCTATTTAATACAATAGTATAGTCATTAAGTCGCAATTGAATTATCAAGGATTTTATATTATAACTTAAATTTGATAATAAATAATATCGAGGTGTCCATGGAGCTATTGAGGAAGTCTCAAAAAACCTACTCTTTTGCTCAATATATTGAATATCTTGAGCCCAGTATTTATCTTTTAATGACTGAAATATTTCAGCCATAAAAAGGTTTTTATTTGAGACCTGAATATAATAGTCAGTAGAATAACCTAATTCAGACAATAAATTTTCAACTGAGGAGGACCAAGTTACAAACGAAGAATTTCCGACTATTAATTTCAATTTGTTATAAATCAACTTTCTAGGGTCGCAATCTGGTAACTCTAAAATTTTACTCCAGTATCTAAAAATAATCATTGTTAAACGTATAGCCATTGGTGGACGACCCAATTCAAATCTTAAAACAGGTCCAGGGACTGAACGATTAATATGAAATATCGATCTAATAAATCTCAATTGCGTCTTCTCCAATTTATCAACAAAAGATGGTCCCCAAATAGGGAACATATACCCCAAACTTGAACGTATCAAGGAATCAAACAAAGAAATCAAGGTTGTTTGATTCCTTGATATGTTCAAGATTATGATAATACGACTTAATAGAAGACTGTTTCATTCTGACCATAAGTTTTATTAAATTAGAAAGCTGAAGTTTATATTTCAAAAACAATTTATCTAAGTGAAAAGAAAAAGAACCCTGTGGAGTAAAATAAATACCCAGATATTTGTAGGACAAAACTATCTCCAATTCAGAGTTAAATAAATAAAATTTATCAGCTTTCCCCAGTCTATCCCCTCTCTGAAAAACCATTACTTTAGATTTAGTCTCATTAATAAGTAATTTATTAGACTTACAGTAATCTTGTAAAAGGTCAAGTTTTTTCTGAAGACCAATAGGTGAATACGAAAATATTACAATATCGTCAGCAAACAAAAGACAGTTCAATTCTATCTCTGGTGATATGGATATACCCATTGTATTATGATTACAAAAAAATTCCAAGAGATCATTAACGAATAAATTAAACAGAATAGGAGTAAGTGGTTCACCTTGTGGAAGCCCTTTATTAGCAGTTACCGCCTCTGAAAGACAATGATTAACTTCTATTTGATAAGTGGTGTTCGAAAACAATTGTCTTATAAGATTAATAAAAGATGATGTCATGCCTATCCGAGAAAGCTTCGACCATAAAATATCATGATCTATTGCATCAAACACCTTTGACAAATCAATAAATCCAACATATAATTTTCTCCGCTTCTTAGTCAAATTTAATTGCAAAATTCCAAGAAATAAAAATAAATTATAATCAACACCTCTATTCACTACAAAAGCACCTTGACCAATAGAAATAGTGTGAGACCGCTCAAGCCAAAGACGTAAACGATTAGCCAATAACGTAGAAAAAATTTTTCTAATTACACTAATTAGCGATATCAGACGATAATTCATAGGATCAAACCGATTACCCTTCTTATATATCATTTTTAAACAAATATTTTTCCAATTAATGGGAAAAGAATAATTAGTTTTAAAATTATTAAACATAGATAACAAATCGTTTAGAATATTAGTCGGGAGGAATTTAACCATCTCAGCCTTAACAGCATCTAGTCCAGGGGCTTTATTATTTTTTAAAGATCGTACCACAAATTGTAATTCATCAAATGTAAAATTTTCATCAAGCAATGGATCCGTATTAACATTAGTACAAATAGACAGTACAACTAAAGATGGTCCAGAAAAAAATTTTCTCAAGTAATCCGACCAATCACGAATAGAGATGTTATTATACACAGCTTTACCATGTCTAAATTTATTAACAATTTTCCAAAATTCTGCAGAGTTTTTAATATGTGATAATTGGAAGTTAATCTTATTCCAAAATAGTTTCTTTTTGGCTCTACATATAGATTTAAAAGTTTTTTCCAAATTAGAATAAATAATAAATTGTTGTTGTTGTTCAGTTCTTGATCGCCTAAATGCTCGTAAAGCACGATTCTTCTCTCTCTTCAATCGTAGGCAATCAAGGTCAAACCAAGACTTTACAAATTTTCTTGAACAATGATGTTTAACATACATATTACTTTGAGTTACAGACTCAAGAATCACGTCAACAAAGGACGAATAAAAAGAAAAGGAATCCAGAAAAAATCCACCCTTAATATCTGCATATCGCTTAGTGACATTATACAAATACTGTAAGAAAAATATTGATAAGAGGGAATATCACTATTTATGTCAATTTTTTTCTTGGCACTTTAACATACCTTGTATTTCAAATATAATATAACAGTTTGAACATGGAGCTATTCAAAAGCATCTTATCAGGAATCATTTAATGAAAAAATACTAATTTTTAAGCAAAGACAAATGATTTAGTTGGAAAACATGTATAAAAAAAGTCAATGTAATCATTAAATTAAAATTATTACAAATATTTTTTTTGTTTGAAATTTTCAGTTCAAAATAGCAATTTCACATGCACCAACTCAAACCTCTATCTATTACTATATAATAATATTTTTTTTAAAAAGCTTACCATTTGGATGAAACATTTTTGAAACAAATCTAACAGTTGCTGGTTTATTAGGATATTCTTCTGTAAATTCTAAAGTTAACTTAAAAGTACCATCTTCAAATGGAGTATCATGTGGCCTAAAAGAAAATGTATTAATTAATTAAAAATAATAGATAAATGATTTAATCATTTACATTAATAAATTTTTTATTTTTCTTTATTGTATTCATTTATAGAAAATATTCATATTAAAAATATGATATCCTCAGTAATGGAGTTGTTTAACTTAATGATCATTAAATCAAAACTAAGGAGAATATTTAAAAAGTAAATTAATATACACAGATGAAATGGGCAAGAAAGATTTGTAATGAAGGTGGATCAGTATAGATTAAAAAAAAAACCTTATATTAAAATACTTCATAAATAATAGATATTTTAAAAATTTTTTCAGAATTCAAACATAAAATGGTAATACTAAATGCCATTCACTTTCTTGAAACTTCCATGTCAGAAAATATTTACAATGTGATTCTGGAATAAGTGGAACATTGAAAAATATGTCTTTTTGTAATTCTGTAATATGGTAGCACAATGACTTAAATGTAGAGAATATAAAGGTGCGCTACACACTACAATTTTGCATCTTTGATGCTATTTTTTCAAAAATTTTAAAAATCAATAATGTGGGGTAAATTATTTCAACAGGAAATGGAGGAAAATTGCAACAAAATATGAAGGTATCAGAACATTCTCTTATTCAAGATATTCAAACACAATGGAACTTTACATTTGATGTGCTGGATCAATTAATTCAATGACAACATCCCATTGTGGCCTATTATGAAGAAAACAGCATTAACTGTTTGATCAGTTACCAGTGAATCTAGCTTCAGATGTTCTGGATATATTAAGGTCATTTAAACAACTTACTCTTGAACATTGTGCAAGAGATGCTATTGAAGCAATGATTATTCTTACAATATCAGTGATATAGGTCTTACAACAGACTGTACTAATGACAGCATCAAAACTAACAGCATCAATAGAATATGTAATACATTCTCAAATCACTAGAGATGTTCTGCATATCTCCACATTATTTGATTCATGATTTTAATTTTCATTCATTGAGGATGAATTAACAGAGAAAATTTTAAGTTAAGTGTGACACTGTTGTTACTTGAGTTGCAAGAGTCTTGTGCCACTCCCAAGATCAAATTGCAAATTGAATGCAACAACAGATTCATCTATCAAATCAGAACACCAAAAAAATTTAAGGATCTTTTGATTTATGGGAAGTTTAGAATGCACACCGGAATCAGCATCTTATGAAAATCATTTGTAAAAAGCAAAACAAATTCAGTCTTTTGGTACAGCAGAAAATGTGGTTAAAAATATTCTGAAGTATAAGATGATGTGTTTCCAATGGGCTCAACCACCATTAGAAACAAAGCATTAGTTTGAGTTTGCATTACAGTAATACCCCGAACTTATGCGATAGGTGGGACCGAGCGGTAACCGCGTAAGTTGAATTCGCGTAAGTCGGGGTATAATTTCGCATATAAATACATACAAATAATTTTTAATTGGGGCCTGATACTAAAGAAAACAATAATTTAGAAAAAAAATGTTTAATAAAATCTTAGATAATTCATATGTATAACAAATTAGGCCTATATTATTTTACAATTTTTCACATTTACTTGATTATTACGCCATAATTTTAACATTGTTTCCATCTCAGCGATAATACTGTGACGTTTACGAATGATGCTTGAATTTAAAGATTGAGCATTTTTCACAGCTTCGANTTAAAATTATATAATAAAAAAATACGTCATAACTTGATAATTGCCAATACATAAAAACAGAGATGATAGATAATTTAACAAGCTAGTTAAAACTTGTGACAACTATCTCTTGAATTTAAAACAAAACTTTTGTCTAATGATAAATTTTAATATCTCATTGTTTTACTATTATAACAAATAATTTTACATAAAAATTTCTATTTTAAAAAAGTTATGTAAATATGATAGTGTATTATGATTAATAAATTATCCAAATTTACAAAATTAGTTTAATTACAATTTATACCAAGACTATAGTGTAACATACAAGCAAGATTAATTAATGAACTGTGTTTACAATTTATTACTCCTACTTGATACCTGTACCAAGTAGACCATGATATGTCTATTTAGAAAATAAATTTTAAGTGTTACATTTAAGTTTATTTTAAGTCAATTACCTTGAGAGTTGATGTGATAGATTTCAATTTAATATAGACAGTTCACCTATATTTTGAGCAATTTTTTTTTTAAGAGTTGAAGTAAATGGTTAATTTAAATAGTAATGTTAATAAATATTAAAATGCTTTTAATTTCATATAATAATTGTGTTTATGTTCAAGTTAACACAATGCATATAAATTGAAAAATTAACATTTCTTTGTATAAATATATTTTGGCAAAACTACTTTTTTACTTTCATACTTTTGATATCATATCATACACTAATTTTTATATAAAAGTAAGAATTTTCATATACAAGTTTTTTTATAGCACAAATATATTCTGTTTTATTTTAGCAGCTGACAAGAGTTAAGTCAAAAATATTCTCCTGTGTAAATATGTTAATACCAATTTATATAAATTGTACTACTATTGAAGTTATTACATTTGCTTACATTCATATTCAGTAAAAAAAAAAAAAAAGAAAGACATCTGCAGTATTTATTTAGGGTAGTTATTTATATCAAATTGCATACACCGGTACAGAAAGACCTTCAAAATCAAAACAGTTACAGTATGTTTAAAAAAATTGGCTTATATTTTTACTAGTAGTACATAAAAAAAAAATCACTATAACAATAATAAAAACTTAATTTCTAATAATTTCTTTTTTCCAGCACACTGCCGAAGGAAATTTTTAAATCGAACGGTTTACACATTTCGAGAAATACCGATTATTATTATACATTTTTAAAGGGGATTATTCTGATCGTTGAACAAGAGGCAGTTCTTTCCTGCCTGGAAGCATTATCCTTACAAATAATAAAAAAATTAACAAAGAAATATGTATTTTTCTAAAAAATTATTCACGAGTGTTACAAGTATGCATATAAACATGCTTATTTACTGAATTATGTAGCATTTTCTAGCATATATACATATATATGTATGAATACTTTTCTACATCAATATTAATATTTTAATGTAATGAGATACGATTCTTTTTAATTTATATTAATTTTGTTGTAAAGTTTTTAAAAAATAGAAATCAAAACCCTTATTGAAACTGAAAGGAAGTAAAGATACAGTAAAACTTCTCTTTGTGACCTGTTCTTGTGCCTACCTTGAATTTGTGACCAACAGAAAAGCTTGGCAAAATTTTTCCATTGATTTAAAATGGGATATAGACTTCTATTTTGTGGTCATCTGTAATATGTAACCATATATTTTTGGTCCCTTCCACAAACTCTCTCTGATATGTGACTATTTGCACAAGACTGTGTGCAGTTACTTCACATGCAATTTCTTTGTTGTATAGAGCTGCTTTCTTTGTTCTGTTTCCAGGAATCTTATTACGATTATCACTAACCAATGAATTATAACTTCTCTGTAGTAATAAGAGAATTAGGGTGACTGATGACTTTTTTGGCAACTTGCATTTGTTAACAGAACTGTAAACAACCATAAATTCTAGCACAAATTCTTAAAACAAAGGTTTTTGAGTAAGGCCAAAAATGTTCACAGAACATTTACATAGATGTTCCACAAGTGTCTTTAATATTTCAAAACTGATTGATTTACCAAATCAAATCAAACTATTAATAACATGCAAAAAAATGTTTGACAAAGCAGTAAGTTTGCCATTAATAAAAACAGATTAATTGCTTATAATAAGTTTTAATAGTAATTTAAAGACTATCTTAGATTTTAAATACACATCCTTGTTGTCTTTGCAATTTATTGCAAATTCTGTAATAATTTATATTGAAATAAAAGTTATAAATATCACCCACTTTTGATTTTTCCCTGAGTGATCACAAATGGAATAATTTACTGTATACATAAATTTAGAACTAAAAATAGGGTTTGTTTATAGACCAGAAATAAAAATAAGGTATTAAATTAATACTTTGCCTTGTTTCAATTATTACATTCTGTAAGGAGCATTGCTATTACTATAATTACATTACAAGCAATTATTTATTGTGACATCGTCACAATGCCAGGCTTCAATTTTTAATCATATTTTTAATTTATTTAATTTAAAATATATGCTCTCCACCTCAAATTAGTGGCTTGCCTCTGTACGTACATCATATTTTTACTTTAACAATACAGTTGTGCCGGTCATTGATTAACTGCTTTCAGGGGAAAATTTTTTAATTGAAATAACACAACTTCCAGCTTGCATCGGAAGTTTGTATACAGTTAATCAGGGCCTCCTGTCCCTAAGGTTTCCATATATGGTCTCAGATTTCATCTATCTAACTCTGTTCTTGAGATTAAGAAAAAACAGATGGACAACAGTGGGAATTTATAGGTCTACAATTTTTTCAAACTACAGTCCAAAGAATAATTACTGTTTGAAAAATATATCATATTACACCATATTTTTCATTGTATCAGTACTGGATTTGATTTTTCATCTCTTACTATTAAGAAAATTTTGGAAATTTTAACTAATTTAGACACAGAGACAAACAGATTTCTGCATGTGATGAGATGAGAATTAGAGGTTTGACTTGCAGAAAATCTTATAACAGAAGAATTTGAAATTGGAAGTTTTGTCAACTTTTGCAGATTAAAACCAAAACTGTCAACCAAAAAAGTTGTCTCTACTCCTCTAAGCTCATAAAATGACAAAACTTAACAGAAAGATGATTGTACAAACAACAAATTAAAGTAAAAAAACAAAAAAGTGAAAAAGAATTTAGACATATTGTGAGTGAGAACCAAAGGATTCTATTTATTTATTTATTAAATACTGAAGACAGACTAATTTGTTGTTGAAATTGGCAGCATTTCTAAATCAATTTTCACTAACCAAGTAATACAAAAGAAAAAAAATCGAGCATCAATTTTGAGCTATACTTTTATACTTAAATTTTTAAAAATCTAACTCAAAATATTT